AAGAAACTGGCGTGTTGCTCTTTTAAATAAATGTTGTTCTAAGTAAATACAGGGTATATATATGATATATATATATATATATAAAGTATTAGGCATGCGACAATAAAAAAAAACCGCTAGGTAGTCAAACTTTGTGCAATCAGATAATATTGTTACCGCTATGAATTTTAAAACATTTATAAACTCTTCAATTTTATAATGATGTTGATTCTCCTTCCAATAATATAGGAGAACCATATAAAACATATAAGTAATTACATTTTCTATCTCAGATCATCAAAAATGTTGAGATCCCTATACCAACAGGATTTTTAATCAAAGTACTTCTCACAAGAAAAACAAGTCTTTCTGAAATCAATTAGGGAATAATTGTTTTTATAACAATTTAATATAATATATATAATATGAAGTTTGCTAATGTATTTCAATTTAAAACTAGTTATTTAAGTATCTAGATATTAATTAATGTTATTTTGCTAATGTACGTTGATTTGCATTTCAACCTCATATCTACTGATTGTATTGCGAAAAAAGCTAATAATGTTACTAATTATAGTAATTAAGTTTAGGTACTTGTTAACATTCAAATATTTTCTTAAAATTATTGGGTAGGTAGGTTTAAGATTTCTTTTAACAAAAATAATTAATATGTATTAAAAGCTCATTAAAAACGTCTGCAAAAACATACGATTGAACATGTACATAATGTCATTCAGACCATGTTATCTATAAATACATTGATAACTAATGATCGATGGGTATAAATAAGTTAGTAATAAACATATAACCTTGCATACAGCGACATCTAGGGGCTAACCGGCAAAGCTTATTCTGTGCATACTAGACAACTGGTAATGAAGATAGCTCTAAAAAAAAATTTGCACACATACCTCATAACATGGCTTAATACCTAGTGAATATAGGTATATATATCTAGAAAGTGTGATTTAAACTTACTTACTGGGAGTCTCGAAGAAATTATGTATAATAAATTTTTAATACTCGTAAATAGTTTTCATATTTTAGATCACTTTTGTTATACAATAAATTAGTATAGAGCATTAACATATAATAAATTTGATTATTGATGATTTCTTAAAAAGTGTACATTAATATACTGTAGCGTTTATATATGTCTGTATCCTCGACATTTATAAGTACGACTACTTGTAGCATCATGCAAGTGAATGTATTTTAGCACGTTTTAGAGAAAAAATATAATTTTTAAAAATCGAATACTGCGCAAAACTAAATTAAAATTAGTTTTGGATTGTACTCGTAGGTACTATGTACACAGCTATACAGCTCTAAATTTTAAATTTAGAATTTTATTTCTGACCATATCATAAAGACAGTAAACCGCCGGAGCCAAAAGAAGAGAAAAAAAAGACAGTAAAATTATAATAAGGTTACGTAAATAAGTAGGTAAATAATATTAATATATTTTTAATTAATAGTAGGTTTGCTGAAGAAGGTACTAGAAATATTTAAGAAATATTATATATTGTGTGCCCCTACGATATACTGTTAATGGAATAGCGCTTCATACAATTTTTATATCAAACATTACATTTTTATGTAACTAATATAAAAATACTGAATTATAATCCAGTGAATTACGGATGAGAGAACCATTTCACTACGGAGTTCTATAAACTAATGACCTCTAATTTAACGAATTGCCCTGTGTTTATCACAGTCTATGTATAATTATGATACGGCTGTGACACCGGTCTCGCTATACATATACCTATCCTAAAAATGAACATTAAATTAAACGCACATCTTATATGTTCCGCCATTTATAAATATCATCTTATAATAATAATACTGATATATGTTTAAATATATGGTTTTAATAATAAAAAATATACATACAGATACGTAATTATTTACTTGCAATAACAGAATTAATATTAACATTCTATATCTGAAAAAAGCTTCTGTTGTATTTGTTGATTCTAAGCCGATATGTATATTTATTCTGTTATATCCGTCTTTGTACACTCTATTATTAGTATAGGATTATATATAATTTCTGTTGTACATTTATGCAAATAATGAGTGTCAACAGTGTCTTCGGTATCAACAGCATCTCAGCAAAACATACTTAAATTGTTCAAGAGATGTCTCAATCCCCGCTTTCAAGTCTCACCACGTAGTTATCCCTCTATCCCTATCACGTCGTTTAGAGACACACATTTCACGCGTGACAACGCCAGAAGCGGCAATAAATTGTATGCTGATATGGAAAAATGGTGCGAAACTGCCTTTTATCGTCTTAACATAGTCCTTCTCCTTATATGTTAGCGTACAGACTTAACTGTGACGATTATTTACTGCACTCGCATAAAAGAACCGCAGCTTCCAGAGTTGCATGGCTTCATGAGAAACTTAAACGGTCACCACTCTCACCCAGGCTCAAATGTCAACCGCATCTTAGTAATTGTAGCCTTATCTTGTTTACACCATGCACACATAAACATACTCGTATGTAGGTATTAATTACTCTGTACTCCTCTACGACGAACCAAAATTATAATAGAAGTGTAGTGCGTACAGGCTAGCTGTTCTCCTGCATCAAAGATCGTGTCATCGAACCTAGCAAATACCAAAAATTTTATTGATTAACTCTCCAGTGGCGATTATAACAAAAGAGATAGCAATGCAAATTTACATGGAATATTTATATTCTCAACGAAATGTAGACATATTAAGTATTTATTCACCACAAGCTATCTCGGATTACAGTCGCCAGACAGTCAAGATATACTTATATTTCAATATTTCAAAAAATATAGGCAGCTTATATGATATATGTATATAAAACTCCAATCAATACCATATATATGAAACCTGACCACGACCACAGAATACACAATCATGTAGTGGACAAGACATACACCTGTTACATCCCTAAATCGCTCCATTATATATTCATTTGAATATCTACATTTTTATATCTTTCTTATTTCGTATTCGATATCAGAATACGGCGCCATCTTTATATTGTAACTGGTTCAGAGATAGCACATGGCAAAAGTAAAGGCATTATACTATATTGTGAAGATAATTAAAAATAGGCACTTCGTAGCCTAACATAAGTTCTAAAGAGTATAACAGAAATCCATACTTCCATACTAATATTATAAATGCGAAATTTAGTCTGTCTACTTATCTATCTAGTGACTAGTAGTACGTTGTTATATTGATACTGACCGTCCGGATTTCCCAAAGGTTGAAAATAGCACTCACGATATAGAGCCCACTGGCATAATATAAGTTTTAGTAAGTATTATCTTACTAGTGATAAAAGAATTTTGCTATGTTAGCTGTATTTATGTTAATGTTAGGAACAAATAAATATTAGGATTTAAATATCCTGAGATTGCCCTTTGTGAATGGGACACACGAGCTTAATTTTTTGTCTTTCTGTATATTTTTAGAGTAAATAAAAGAAATAAAAGATGGTTATAGATCAATTTTAAAATGGCATGACGAAATATATTTGTCCGAATCGCTTTTTGGCTTCAAAATGATGTTTTTTGGATTAACAATGCTATTACTTTCTGCTCAATAGGTAACCGCTCGTTTGTTTAGCCCGGTAATTGTACCGCCTCATCCGACAACAATAAATTAGGTACAGGTTAGAACCAAAATATATAGGGGTGGCTGAATTCCCACTAACGAGTTATACTGCGTAGTATTATTACGTTATACCCTAATCTAAAGCGATGGACACATGTCCATGAAATATATAATCTAATATTACAACGCGAGTGCTTCGGGGGTTAGATACTGTATACTCTGCACATCTGTACAAATGCACATGAAAACGCCTACCGTTGCGCGAATTATTGTCAACCCTTCAATGTTGCACACATCTGACTCTAAACGTGTCATTTTAGATTTATTACGGGTGTAGATATTGATTTTGTAACAAATTATGATAGTGTATTTCCTAATGTCTCTTTAGTATAAATATGCGATATTTATTCTTTTATTTTTATTACAATAAATTTTCTTTTATAAAAAGATGCGTTTTTTCGAAATTATAAAACTCTATGTGCCATAAACTTCATGCTTATCTATATTTAGATATAGTATAGATGTTATGTAGAAATCATAAACCATTTATGGCCTTTTCTGCAACATTATACACTTTATGACGGCAATTCAAAGTAAAGATCTGTATAAAAAATGGGAATGTCTTGCAATAAACCGTATCGAAGCATAAAAGGTGGATTAAAACGAGATATCGTGCCAGAGTCGATAGCCTGATCAGGGGACGGGTGGATCGAGTTCTTTTTCTCACGATCGCTGAAATAGTTAAATGGAAAAAAATAGAATGCGAATCCTTAGTGTAATGAATATTGCGTGCATGCATGCACCCGTGAGACCAAGAACCAGACCGGCGGCGACGTAACACGCTTGCAACGACATCCTCGACAAATTATAGTTAACTGTACGTTATTTCTCACTCACGACGTTTAAATTTCGAAAGGAATACTTAAGCATACCAACACAAAAAAGGTACGCACGATGTTACAAATTAAAACTGGATTGTTGATGTTTAGACACTGTTGAATCTCTATGAAAATTATTGAGAACATCCAGATCTATATAGATCCGAGTCAACTTTAGCCAGTATAGAAAAGTTTTAATTTTTATTTGTCTCTGTTGGCAAACAGGACCACATTGCGCTTCAAATTTGAGTATTCCTTTTTATCAATTGCTTCTACTCCCATGATAGTCACGTATTAATTTTTGTTATAATCGAAGTCGATTTTTTTACTCTTGAACAAAACTTTAAATCAGCTTATAGTTCCTATATCATAAGCTTATAGCTTTGCTTATTGCCTTGAAATATCAGTATCGACATCACAAAAACTACAAGTTACATCTACAGCATCAACATATTGTGTATGTTTACAGGACAATATTTCATATGAATACCGACTTTACTATAGAAATGAACATTATCTGTATTTCCGTTGCAGTGGGCAGTGGAAGATGGCGTGTGTAGAAAAGGAGAGGTATTAAACCAAAATGGCCATCGCCCGAGCGTTATTGGTGCTTCTAGTAGCCACGGCTCAAGCCTGGATGCCGGATACCAATGCTCGCATAGAAGTCAAATATGGTAAGAATTTATATACTCAAATTTATTAGAAATTGCTCTACTTTGTTAAATACCTACTCTTAATTACATAATTATTAATATTATAATTTTATAACTATGTACGAGAATAATGACCCAGGATAATTTACACAGCGCCATCTAATTTCAAGCTAAGCAGAGCTTCTGTTATAGGTACTAGATAACTAATAGAAACACTTAAATACATACATAATAACATAGAAAAAATTCAGACCGAACAAATACTACTTTTATGTTAAATAACTACTGTAATTTTCGAGAAAATAAACTCCTATAAACTCTTATTTTAAAATAACTACCTAATCGACGAGTTCAAACAAAAAAGTAGTGATACTACACTATAGATAAATAATAATAAAATATAGATACTGTGGGGTTCCTATATTAATACATATTGTGCCAAAATTGATAATGACAACATTCACGACCCATATCAAAAGTGTCACAGTAGCAGGCTTCGGATAAGATATATGTAGGTCCTATCACGATTTGGACTGACACGTGAGAATTTCTCAAGCAATTGTTATGAAATCGCTAACATCCATTGTTGTTTAATCGTTGTACAATGGGAACATTGTTCGTTTGATGTGCACAAAAAGAAATTTCTACACGGGCGTCTTAAATACATACATGTAGCATATTGAATTGTACGAGTATAATATCTATTCCATTTATCACATAACATTTGATAGGCATTGACGAGATTTTATGTTTACATAATGATGAACATTAAAATAAGCATGGATATTCAGAGCAAATCAAGTATCAATAAATCTAGAGATAATGTTTAACACCTATCTGCATTATACTTAGGTACTAACTGAATTCCATTTAGAATTAGCCATTAGCAGAATATTTGTATATATTAGTTACGGGTTACTTAATAATAGCAAACTTAACATTAATTCTCGTTATTAAACTGTAGTGATTAAGTAAAACTTTTAATTAATTGGTTTGTTACAGGCGATGAAACTTCTGAACAGTTTGTAGGCAACGCGATGGAGCCAGACCACTTTCGCATTTTAGACAAAGATGACTTCTCTATTATAGTCGGTGGAAGGTGAGTAAATAAATACCTAACTTTATACTTACAATAAACAAATACACGTGACATACAACTGATGTATACATAATATAAACAGTTTGAATTAATTAAGAAAAATTTGCATCGAGTAACGTAGTATCCATATAAGGCTCTCCTAGGAATTTCAATTTGTATTTAGGCGAGTATAAGAGAGCTTAGCGTCAGAACGTTGTTATGCTATACAACAACCGTGTTCTAATAAAATTATGTTAACGATCATTTATATCTTTCAGGAATACGGTCTACAACCTCAGCCTCTACGATTTATCAGAAAATACTGAACAGGTATTTATTAATTTATATATAAATTAATTTAAATATAAAAAATACTTACTTATTAGGTTATGTGATTCTTTGTATTAGTATCACAATGGTCGCAATGACCTGCTTATAAAATTAAAAGACAATCTGACAACAATTAGTTAAATAATCTCTGCTATAGACAAGTAAATACCTATAAAAACTATAAAATATAATATGAAGATAATACTATACAACAAATCTCCAGTGGCAGACGGATAACCTAAAAAGTAAGTAGCACTAAAAGATAAACATCGGGCAAGAACGTGTTGGATGCGTAATAAAGTTCCGTAGTATGTTACAGTTTTAAACTAATATTGCTGAATCTTTAAGTTTACTTAATTAATTTTGAGCATTCTCTCGAAATCAACGGCACAAAATTAGAAACACCGATAGCAGTATACTAAGTCTACAATACAGCGATAATTAGGTATTATTCGTAAAATTTTTCCAAAAATAATAGCCTACTATACCTGCAGTTATTTTCCAAAATAACAGTAGATATAGCCAGACAACCGAAAAAGGTGACAAATTTAGAGAAGCTCCGTTTTTTGCCATTTTATTGTGAAACCCTAATAATACTGAACACTTGATAACGGGTTTTGTCGACAGTAGCGGCCACTCCTCGGTGATACGATTGTGTACCTACTTTTTATGCCAATCAGCGACCTCATCCACTAGGACACAATCAAAACCAGTTAGGTATGAAGTTCCTACTGCATTTAGCTAAGCGAATACAATTTCTTCTATAGGTAAAAGCAGTTTTCGTTAACAGTCGCATATTTAATGTTATTATAAAACCCTAAAGTCTAACGAGATTTAATCAGCGTGATCATGATTGCCTGAGATAAAATTAACGCAAATCCTTCACTACCACAAACACAAAGTTTTTATAACCAAATTTTATGCAGATCGGGAGAGCGGTTAAAGTGTGAAAACATTTAATTAAAATTAAATTTATTTGCACCGTGAAAATAGACAATGTTTGCATTTAAAATGTCAAATAATATCCAAATAAAAAATTAACCGTAGAAAATAACGGTTAAACGTTATATGCCTATAACGGTTATGATACTCGATAACAGTGCGTTATGCGCTATTTCAAAACTGCAACCTATATATATAATGCACAAAAAGGTTCCGAAAATCTTTGATTCTAATTATTGATTATTTCTTAAAGAAATAAATTCCTAAAAATATGCGCGAGTATTTTAATCAATTAAAATTTAAAGCTTTGAAAAATAAAAATAATGCAGTTCCTTTATTACCAACAAATATTGATAAATATTATTGTACTAAACTTTACACTGTTAGTGTAAATTTTAGTACGCCAATGGAAAGTTGAAAAAAAATCAATATAGTTTCATAATTTATAACAATACATAACGTCCGTTGTATCATCATATCGCGATACCTGCACTAAAAATGTTATCAGGATTGTGTTGTGTATCTTGTCTCTACCAAAAAAGCTATATTCGCCTCCCCGGAGTCGGTACACTCACCATTTATTCTTAGTTACAGCGCATTTTGCTGAGCACAGTGTTTATTTCCAAATCCTGTAAAGTCTTTACTGTACCATAACAGCAATGTATATGTATACGGCACATATTTATTTACATTTTTAAGCGAAAACACTGCGGAAGCTGAATCATATTACACGTAGGTATTTATTTCTAGAACGCAGTTCAGCGATTAAGAATTTTCGGGTTAATATCTATTAAGAATTAGATAAACAAGCAGGAACGTATCCAATTATTTTCCGTTGGGTTTTTACTTTTTGTACTTATAATACGCGCAGAAATAGGTAATACTTTTATGTCAATAACCATTGTTATTAAATTTTCTTATTAAGTGGAATCGACCAAGAAATATTATAAAATATTCTGGTTCTTCCACTACTCTTCTAATCTTTATCTTCTAAGACCATATATATACATATAAATATCTATAAAGCTAGTCATGCCAACATGAATATATTATGCAAAATGCAATTAATCTTGTAGGTAAGTTGATACCTTGATATAACGTCGACTGCAACGAATACCAGAATTATAGTGAGTTAAAACACAAAACGCGGGTCGCAATAGGTAGTTGGCATATTGCCAGAAATTACCACAGTTTTCGCGCCAAAAACCTGTTAGATGCATAAACTTAATATGATAGGTATTGATTGAATTTTATAGTGACTATAATTTTAAAGAGATGAAAAATACGCACTGATAAAATAAGTAACTATGTAGGTACTTCATATTTCTGGTACACGATATAGAATAAAGAGAAGAAAGTGATAGATACAGAATTTTTCGGTCCGTCTAGCCCATACATTATAACAGAGCCAACCGTACCAGGTTTTAATCTACGCGTCAAGCTTCATATTTTAAATTACTTATCATATATAGGCGAGTCGGTACTAACCGACCGGTGCGGTGATGCGTTGAATTATTCACGCACGACGATGTAGCGCGTCCATTCGCCGGCATCCGAATACTAATCATGAATGCATGGTTAGGTACCTACTTTTTCTTTAAATTTACATCGCTTCATATGCACCGACTTCAAAAAGGAATAACTCCTTTTTACTGTATTGTTACGAGTTATTACGCAATACCATCGTCGTTTTCGTTTTTTTTTTTGTCAAAATATCGTTTGTCTTATTTTGACTCAAAATCTCTACTTTTAAATATACCGTACCTTTTGAGCAGTATAGTATTAGTAAATAATTTTTTCTGTAATATATTTTATTTGTGTTATAAAATAAATTATAAATAAATAATATCATCTGTTTTTCGAACACACTGCAGAATAAATAAATAATTAATATTCTTTAAGCTTATACCGACGACGGATCTGTGTAATAATGACATTCACTACAGTGCTGATGTAGGCATTTGATGGCGAAATCGCCCGACAAGTTCTTTTATGTTTGCAATTTCGATTTTCGATTGACGTCAGCCGGTTCTTCATTTAACCCGATGATTTTCTTTGAGTCTTGCTTATATTTCGATTCGTAGGGCTTTACAAACTAAAAAACCTAACTATATATTCATTTTTCTTATATTTACTCTATAAATAGTCAGCAGAGATCGGAGTACTTTAGAAAAATCTTAAATGTCACTAAATACATTCAGTATTCAGTGACAATTAAGATTTTTCTAACCTTTCTTTAAACAAAGTATTTAGATAGATCAACACCATTGCAAATGGTTATTAGGAAGTATATCAATACTGCTAAGATAAAATAAAACATATATTAATGTTAGGCAAATGAAAAATTAAAGACGCACTCTGGTATCTCGTTATAAGACAAATGCTGCATAAAGTAAGTGAATATAGAGATATTATATACGCAGAGAGTATATACATGTATAATATATATGTAATTTGTGAACCTACTAGCAAGCTGCTGACTCTGAGTTCGAAAATTATATTCATACATATATGGATTTTGTTCACAGCGTCTAGCATGGCAATCAACGGATGCACACCGGGAATTATGCCAAGTAAAAGGAAAATCAGCTGACGAATGTCAAAATTACCCACGCGTCGTAGCCCGAACGCACAAGGGACTGCTGGTCTGCGGTACAAATGCGTTTAAACCACTTTGTCGGCGCTATGGGCGGCAGACACACTCATCTCCTTTAGAAGAATTCGACGCTTCCGGCCGTTGCCCATACGATCCTCAACACAACTCCACCGCTATATATACCAGTAAGTACGGTGAAATATTTTTTTAAGATAACTCATTATTTCATAGAGAAATTTAATATACAATTTTATTCAAATGGCGTCGATATTTCTGGTTAAAATCACACATTGTGATGATCACTCAACGTGACTGCACGAAGCGGGACTTGTACAACCCGTTGAGGGGTTGCGCCAGACACGACACAACGACCAAGATATCCATCGATTTATTGCTTTTACAGTTAATCACTCCTATCGCACTGTTAGAATGCTACTTACAAATACCAAAGTATATATATATTATACATATACCATACCTATAAAAAAAACTTCTTGATTACAAACATATATTTTAATAATCAAACTAAGAATTTAAATGAAGAAGTCGATATAAATTAGAAATATATTTTCATGGATTATAAAAATAAACGAAGTAAATAATTATTTTTTTACAGATGGACAATTGTATACGGCAACAGCTGCAGATTTCTCTGGAACTGACCCCCTCATATATCGCGAACCTGTACGAACAGAACGTTCTGATCTTCGTTTACTTAACGACCCGTCATTTGTTGGAGCTATCGCGTCAACCAGTCACGTTTACTTTTTTTATCGGGAAACAGCCGTCGAATACATGAATTGCGGAAAGGTACGCAAATTAGTTTATAATACAATCTCAATTTTTAATATTTAAAAAAAAATATTCTGTTTTACATTACTAAAAAAAACAGACAATCAGTCCAACTAAGTATGTTTATATAGCTAAAAATTACTTTAAAAAACTGACATGCAATAAATTCTATACATTATAGTTTAGCGTTGAGTGCGTAGACATTACAATTACAATGCACGATAAGAAAACATACATGGAATAACTGCAAACAATCTGCATCTACCCATTATAAAATTCATTTTAGATAGAGTAAAAAAAAGAGAAGAAACATAATGCTCTATTTTCAAGTAGATATGTTTCTTAACACTTTTATGCTATTTTAGGCCGTGTACTCAAGAATTGCGAGAATTTGTTTAAACGATAAAGGAGGACCACACACATTCAGCGACCGCTGGACTTCGTTTTTGAAAACACGCCTTAATTGTTCCATACCAGGAGATTACCCCTTTTATTTTGATGAAATTCGTAAGTTCAATATACAAATGATATTTAAGAATAATTTTAGTATCTGGCGAAGCTTAAATAACGAATAATCTTATTTCGCAGAAGCAACTACTGAACTCATCAACGGTGTGTATGGCAGTGGCAACAGTAGAAATGATATAGTATACGCCGTTTTTACAACACCTCAAAATGCCATAGGAGGATCGGCTGTTTGTGCTTTTGCTATGAGAGACATTCTAGAAGCATTTGAGGGGCCATTCAAAGGTCAAGAAAGTATGAACTCTAACTGGCTCCCATTAGAAAAACATAAAGTACCAGATCCACGACCTGGGACTTGCGTAGGAGATAGCCGTACACTTACAGATTCTGCTGTTAATTTTATTAAAACTCATCCACTAATGGATAGAGCAGTACCGTCATTTCTGGCAAGGCCAATTCTCATTAGAGTTAGTTTGCAATATAGATTTTCTGCTATTGCCGTTCATCCCCAAGTTCAAGCAATGAATGGCAACAAATATGACATCATGTATGTCGGTACCGATGATGGCAGAGTTATTAAGGCTGTGAATGTAGCTTCCAACGAAGGAGAATTCGATGCTAGTGTAGATGAATATAGCAAAAGCCCAGTAAGAACAGTTGTAATATCTGAGGTGCAAGTTTTACCTCAGGGTATGCCTATCAAACAGATGCACGTAGCCCTTACTACAGAAAAACTTATTGTTGCATCTGGGGATATAATAAAAGCAGTGACACTGTCACATTGCGGCAACGTGCGCTCTTGCAGGTAATATACTCGTGTGGTTTATATACCCTAAAATAATTTTCAGAGCAAAATTACTGGCTTTAGCGAAATAAGTTTTAAATATTGTAAGTGTTAAGTATGTGGTACAATCTAATCATAAATTATCATTATTAATGCTACAACATAATATAAGACTATAAGTATATGTAGCACCTAGGTTACATTTGTAACATCTACATATTTTTTTTTCTGTGTAAAAAATAAAGTTACAATTAATCTATTAAATTCCCTTTCAGAGAGTGTATAACACTGCAAGATCCCCATTGTGCATGGGACTCTAAGCAACAGCAATGTTCTTGGGTCGGAAACAGGCAATTTCCGAATCCTGAGAGATTTCTACAAAATGTAGAATATGGAAAGACTGATATATGTAATAAGTTGCCAGCTCTTATGCCAGGGCATAGTAATAAAAATCCGGGAACAAAGAAACCTAAGTTATCTGACACTGATGATATACTAAATGAAATACCAATAGAAGTAATTGAAAATAACGTTATATCAGAAGAAAAAAATACTAATAATAAACATGAAACAGGTAAGCAACCTATCTTTACATAAAAATATATTTAAACAAGAAAATGAGGCAATATTGTATAGTCAAAAATAACGTTCTTATTATATTGCAGACTTACTAACTGTCGAAGCAGCAGATGGTAACATATACAGTGCTCAGGCATTACTAACAGCGGTAGTTGCATCTTGCGTGGTGACACTGATGGTGGGATTTGTCATCGGATATCTCTTTTCTCGGAGATTTCGACATCCGTTTTTTACGGACACCTCACCCTTCAATGAACAACATAATCATTTGAACAGGTAATCCCATACATGAGTTATATTAATCTAATGACCAGGACTAAAAAAATTTATATTATAGTTTTTCTTTGCAGGCGAGTTTTTATGATTTCCAGAAGTGAGTTATTGTTATAATCTTCAGTTTTAGCTCATTTCTCGTAAACACTTATTTCTCTGCGTGCACTGTGCCGTGTAAATGTTACGCATGCTATTTATTTATACAATCATTATTGACTGCATTGTATCAAGTGTCATTCTGCACTGCATAAAGGCACGTACGATGCCTAAAGATACCATGTAATATAATTTTACCATGTTGGCAAAATCGCTACTGTTATTTTAGATATTTATTACACTTTTTAATTTATTTGTTTGAATAATATGGACATATTGTGTTTCAGACGGAGTCCATTAGAAACGCCATTAAACACTAATTCAGGTTTCATAGCGACACGATCGAAGAATGTTAACATGGTGGCAAACGTAGGGCCCCTTGTTAAGCAGGATAATTTACACCTCGAGCTTGGCAAAGAACGTACACTAGACCTAAGAAACTCCACCGAATCACTCGATAAGGATCTTAAGTGCGGTACCTTACAAAAAGTTAAAAAGACTTATATTTGAAATATACCTCAGCAGACAATGTATGGATCTATTATAAAGTGATTGAACTAAATGTGCGTCGCGTGTGCCAAGTACTCCGAACAATTCGGTTATAACGATGTGTGTGTTTGGTGTGATCATACTTGTTGATTATACTTGAATTGTAAATATTGTTTTGACTGTACAGTTTGAACTAGTATCCAATGTTTTTATATTAAAATAGCCAGTCTTTAAGCTAAAATATAAAGATTGGTTAAATTTTAGAATAATTTATTATATTATAACTTTTGTCACTATTTTAAAAATTATATTCGGTTAAATGACGTCTTGATTAATGCGATGAAGCGACATGGGAACGGCTATGTTTAAATATGTATTGTTAAACGTAACAGGACCAACTATTCAAAATATAACTGTGCTTGGAAAACTACGATTCAATTAAATAAACGACGATAGATTTTATTAACCTAATATGTTGCTTAACAGTAATTTTCAAGTCGCTAATAATCGCCAGAAGACGAATACCTAAATCATACCGAACTGCAATCCTTAAATTTTGTATTAAACATTAGGGGCTTCCAGTATGATAAAGAAGGCCAATAGCGCTTAGTTAAGATCAAATTAATATTTTGTATTTAAATAACTTCATTTCTAATTTTTCTCCGAAGAATATCCCTAATAGAAAATACCATCCAACTTCTCGCGGTTAACTTCTTATATTGTATCAGTCGCATTACAAATTATATAACATGCCGTAAATATTACATATATCGGATGCTAAAAACGATTAACAGCATTAATTTAGGAAATAATTTTATGTAGTTTTTTTAGCAGCGCCTGGTTCAGTCCATTCATTGTATAATAGAATGCTGTATATTTTTTATAATTTAACTGGAAGTCCCCAATGTTACTGCGACCTTTCTTACCTAATAATTCAAATTTAGTTGTAATTGTCTTATTTACATTCCATAAAATCACATTTAGATAGATACATAAGTTTTTAGGCAGCTCTTTGTAAATACTAAATGTATTAAAATGTATATAATGCTATAAGTGCATAAACAAAGGAGCTGAAACTATAAGTAAAATCGGCAGTCTAAAAAAAGAAACAAATTTGTGTACACTATATTTTAAAAATATATCAAGGTAAATAAGCTTTGTTTACAGCCGATCTCATTTCAGCCTGGAAATGTTGTAGAGTTCCACAACATAAGACTTGTTTTACATCCATTAGTCATTTTGTGCAGAAATCTATATATTAAAAATAATTTTTATTGAAATGAGGTATTAACAGTTATAGCATAAATTGCTGTGCTAAGTGCATAGTGCCTTGTAGGTTGCCAATTTAGTGCCTAATGTAATTTAGATATCACAAAAGAGTATCTATAGATACATTTAATCTCCTGTTATGTTTCAGTTTGCATAAAGTGAACTGAATTAAGTGTGACAAGCTTTGTAAATATAGAAATAATATCTATACAACATACTCAAACATTTATATAGTTATGACTTGTCATCATTTATTTGCTTGATAAATTATTTTACTTTTCAAATTTCCGCAGCACCGAAATATGGATAATGATGACTTGATTACTTTATATTTGTTAACTTCATTTTAGATGTGGATTGAAATACTAGGCTGAAAAACCACCAATTGTATTTAAAGTGTTCCCACCGTAAAGTTATAAAGTCTATTAAGTTAAGCAAAAAAATATACTTCTGTATATTAATTATAAAAAATATCAAATTAAATGTGAACATTTTCATATCAATTTTATGTTGTAAAAATAATCCTGTTCTTATTCTTTTTTTATTGTGTAGTTAAAATATGTAAATTTCACATAAATGTGTAGTATTTGAAAAATGTTTTATTTATATTTTATTACTGTAATAAATCAATTTAATACTTAGTAATTTTATAAATTTCCCATGATAGTGGAGAAATATAAGTATTATTACAATATATAATTTGTTTTCTTTTAAAAATTATAATTTTAAAACAGTAAAAATATTGCCTGCCTGGGTATCTCATTTTCACCTATATCAGTCAGTGAAAGTACAGGATAAGAGGCATGACATATTATTGCTCTAGAATGGGAATGGTATCAAGGATGTCACATGATAATGTAACATCCGTAGTGCTCTTCATATACATACAACACAGTTACCACTTTCCTAAAATTGAGCCGTCGATTTGTTTGCCAATCCATTTACATAAAAAGCCATAAAATGTATGTATGTAAAATCAATCAATATCACAGATTACCAAAAAATAGTTAGCCTCACTTAACAAATAGCAACAAAATAAATGGGTGCTGGTAATATACCTACATTAAACAATTCATGAAAATATGTCTAGTCTTTGAGAAATCTGAGATTATATAAATTTACCAAAAAGGATAGTTATTCATGAAGAAACAAAAACTGTGATCAACAGTTGTTTTTTATGATAATGGAATGGTGCACCCGCCTGCGCTAACGGTTTACGCTGGCGGGGCACCAGTGGAGGATGATAAGATGAGCATGAGGTCAGGTCAGTTAGCCCATCGTGATCAACAGTTGCCCAGCTACAAAATAGAAATGCCAATGAAAATCATATAATGGATGAAATTGATAAAACTGCATGAATATCCAACAATGGGAGAGAGGTAAGGTGATAAAGCGATTTAGATTTAAATTTTTAATACAACATAAAATCAATTTTCAGAAATTGATGGATAGAAAAATTTTAGAGTATTCTATAGAAATTTACATAAATTTTCATTATACACAGCTAGGACATTTCCTCTAACAGTAGTGCCCATACTTTTTTTAAACTAAGAAAGATACTGGATGGTCAGAATAAAATATTTCAATAAATAGTAAAAAATATCAGCAAAAGAAAGGAGCTTTAGAACTCATATTTTAATTATTCATTGTCAACATCTATATAATTTATATAGTTACAAAGAAACTGGCGTTTCTCAACAGCAGTTTTCACAATACTTGTGTCAATAGTAACACCATCATCACATATTATAGCCTCCTCTTTCATTTCTGGATATCCTTCATGAAGTAATAAAAAATTATGAAGTACACAAGCTGAATATATTAAACTAGTGACTATTTCTGGTTTGCAAATATCAATATGATTTAACCTTCGAAACTTGTCTTTCAATAATTCAAAAGCGTGTCCAATATAATAACGAACCTTCCAATGTACCTCATTGAATTTCATTTCCTCACTAGTTAATAACTCCTCGCTTGAAAAAGGGGTAATCAAATTCTTCTTCAACTTATATTCAGAATCCCCAAGTATGTGATTGTCAAAGTCAATAAAGTTTTTCAATTCTCGAGACAATTGGCTTTCACGAAACACTTTACTTTTCTTTGTCTTTCCTATAGTGCCTATATGAATATCTATAAACATTAAAGATTCATCACAGACAGCTTGCATAAGTACATTGTCCGGCATGTTACTTTTATTATTTTTAGAACCAACTTTAAATCTACAGGCATCAAGGAATCCAACACAATTGGGAAATTTAAATCTACTATTTACTTTTAATCTTGTCATATGCTGCTCTTCTATAGATGGCCAACTAATAAAATGATACCTTTGGTCAGTAAGCACTGATGCTATCTGTTGAAATATATAGCTCACTGATGATTTGTGTAACCCAAATTTCGATCCAATTTCTTGATATGATGCATCACTAGTCAAAATCCATAAAAATATATGTACCTTTTTTGCCAAAGGCACAATAACTGTACCATCACATGATACATAATCAGCTAAAAAATTTATAAGTGCCTGGAAAACAAAAAATATTTGTTATATTGCCAATAATATTATGAGACCCATATAATGTCCCGGCAGAAAACACAAAACTTCATATATTATATTGTACTTAAGAGTGACATCTACACTTTAATAATAATTTGTTTATAATAAATATTAGATATGAAAATATGCTGCTTACTTGAACTGTGGTTTTCTTCATTTTAAACCTATTTATATAGTCAAAGTCATCAAAATTTTGTATTGTATGCTCATAATAACTATTAACCCCTGTATGAGTTGCAGGTTTACCAATAAAATCCTTGGAAATAATTTTCATAACTTTCAACTCTTCATTTAATCCCTTACTAAAGTTGTTCATATTATTACTATTTTCATTTATTACATTAGCTACGGCTAAAATTAATCTATTTATTGTAAAAACTGCATCACTGTCCAGAAACATATCTGTAATAAATTCTTTATCAAGCTTATTCATTTTTTAGTATTCTCTTCTTTTCTCAGTTTAAAAAATGGTTAATTTCTTACTAATAAATAAATGTTTCACTCTTAAAGTAGGAGAATACGAAAATCATTATGGTATTCTAATATTCATAAATAATATTTATATTTAATTTTTATAATGTAATAATATTTGCTTTCAAAAAAAGGCGGGAAACGTTAAACTTGGCGGGCGCGTTTTTTCTTTTGATTTAAATTTTATACATATTTTTCATTATTTAGTGATTGTGATACTGTATTTAGTTCTTTAATATCTATTATTTAGTTTGTTTATTGTAGTTAGTATAAATAGTTAGCTGTTTTATTGGTAAGTTTTTCGTTTTTTCATTTCTATGGACGATCCCCCCGACCCGGGGGGATTTGTCCCTCCGGCTTCTAACTATGTTACAATTTCATGCGAATCGGGTATGGAAACCGATACGTCTTGTTCAAACCGATCGATAAAACGCAGTCGGTTACAAAGATTTTGTAAAAGTTGTAATAAACGGAGAAGAAAAAATTCTTCAGATAAAATTACAGATTGCCACTGTACAGATGACATAAATGATGGCATTGAAACACAAAAACCTCTCACGGAAGTGATTTTCACTCCACAATCTGTAAATTTAGATCCCCCTCATCCATCCACATCTAAAGAAACAAATGAAAATAATAATATTTCTGAACCAGTAGCAAGGAAAATGTATGAACCCACAGACCATGCCCCATACTTAGTTCATGTAGTAAGACAAGAAAAGTCTCCAAATGACGGTACTACACTTCACCCTGTGACATTTGGTAAATTCCTCAAAAAACAGTATTTTAAAAACATTATTAATGGAAGTGTAAAACGCATTGGACGAAATAAAATTGCATTATCTTTCTCAGTTTACCATGATGCTAATACATTCATTAATCATAACAGTTTAAATGATTACAAATTACAGGCTTTTATACCAACATTTAATATTACACGTATGGGTCTGATACGAGGTGTTATTATTACAAAATATTTCTGTTCCTATCGGTTGTGGCAATATACTTAAAGTAAGACGGCTAAATTACAAAGTTGTTGTTGATGGCTCTCCCACTTGGAAACCTTCTCAGACAGTAGTAGTCACATTTGATGGTCAGGTACTACCAAAAAGAATATTCATGTGTTATAATGCATTACCAGTGGAATTATACACTTATCCAACTATACAATGTTTCAATTGCTGTCGTTATGGTCACACTAAAATTCAATGCAGGTCAAAGCCACGTTGTTTTAAATGTGGTCAAAATTACAGGAGAAACATGTGATGTTGAAGATGCTTTTTGCTGTTTATGTTCAGGAAATCATTTTTCTACTAGCAAATCTTGTCCAGAATTCAATAGACAAAAACAAATAAAGTTATATATGGCTGAAAATTGTATTTCATATGCTGAGGCCTCAAAATTGCACCCTGCTGTTACAAAGTCTTTTGCTGAAGTCCTTTCCACGCCATCAGCACATGGAACATCATTCAGCACTTTAAAAAATATATCTGAATCAAAAACTTATAATGATACTGCTTTTAAACAATCTTATAAAAAAACCGTATTCTTAAAACCTAAATCTTCATCCATCCTAAATAAAGTTGCCCATGAGAATATTATAAAAGATTTTAATATGCCCTCCCCTTCTAATGGCTGTGCGCTTAACAGTCAGTATAAAAATGAAAGTCAATCTAATATTAAAGAAGTTATTATTTCATTAATCAACTTACTTGTAAGTTCTAATATAATACCGTCCCACGTTGCCCCATTTATAGAAATATTCAAAAATCTACTCCATAATGGATCAAGTAGTCCAATGGAATTGCAGAAGTGTACAGCAAAAAAAGTGATTTAATTCATTTAATCAATAAATATCAACAACCACTTGTTATTGCACTAACTGAAACTTGGCTTAAACCTGATTATAATTTCAAATTATCAGAATACTCTTGTATTCGAGATGATAGGCCAGATGGGTATGGTGGGGCTGCCTTACTCATCAATAAAGCTACTTTTTTTTCTTCTATTTCTTTACCTCTTTTTGACAAAAACAATATTTCTATGGTTGCTGCTGTTGTCAGCGATATTTGTTTAGTCTCCCTTTATATACATCCTTCCTCTTCAATTATTGCATATTTAAATGAGTTATTTTCAATTCTTCCTAAACCTTTTTTAATTATGGGTGATTTTAATTGCCATCATCAAGCTTGGGGCAGCTCCTATTCTAATTACCATGGTGAGCAATTGTTAGGCCTTCTTGATTCCCATAATCTGTGTGTTTTAAATGACCCAGTACCTACTCGTATTACTGCTCCCACTGAAAGAAATAGTGCTGTAGATCTCTCTATTTGTTCTTCCAATTTATCTTCCTCTCTATCATGGTCTATCCTTTCATCTGCATATGGGAGTGACCATTTTCCTATTATCATTTCATTACCAATTCATAAAAAACATCCTCGAAAAAGAAATTATTTTTACAAACATAAGTTAAATAATAATAATAATTGGGATAAATTCCAAATTGTACAAAATAAATTATCATCTCTCCCTCCTATTACTTCTGGTAATGAATCGGACTGTTCTGAAGCCCTCAGCAAAATTTTGATACAAGTTGCTGATGAAGTTTTTCCTGTAAACAAACATAATAATAATAAAATTCCTTCTCCACCTTGGTGGGACCATGAATGTACTACAGCTATTAAATCCAGGAAACTGGCAGAAAGATTATATTGTAATGATATGAGTTCAGAAAACTTCACCAATCTATCTGCCCTACTAGCCTCCACCCGGAAACTTTTAAAGAAAAAGAAGTCAGAAGGATGGAAACGTTTCTGTTCTTCTATTTCGCCTCATACTCATCCTTCCCTTGTATGGCGTAATATAAAAAGATACAGATCTGCTTTCCAAGATTCTCCTTTTTTTACATTATCAGAGACTACAGCTAACGAGTTTCTAGATCGTTTAGCACCACCCTACGTATCTCATATGGATCCCATAACGCGGCCACTTTCCACCAATAAAAATATAAACTCTTCAGCTCTTGACAGTCCTTTTACATTTACGGAACTTAAAACCGTTCTGTCTCATACGAAAGATTCATCTCCAGGAAATGACCACATTCCATATTCATTTTTAGCGAATATTAATGATGAATGTATGTTGTATTACCTTAATCTCATAAATTCAGTAATGTTAACTGGGAATATTCCGTCGTCATGGAAACATCACACGGTATTGCCAGTTAAAAAAAACCCAACAAACCTTCCGATGACAGTAGTTCATATCGTCCTATAGCTCTTTCCACAGTTCTTTTAAAAATTGCTGAAAATTTAGTAAAAACTCGTTTAGAGTGGTATGTCGAAAGTAAAAAACTATTAGCTGAAAGTCAGTATGGGTTTAGAAGGGGTAAAAGTACATTAGATGGAATCAGTCTGTTCGTTTCAGATATACGTTTGGCATTCTCTAAAAATCAGTCGGTAGTTTCAGTTTTCTTAGATATTAACTCTGCGTATGACAATGTCAATATTAACATATTATGGAAAAAGCTTTGCGATTTGAATGTTCCTCCCATACTTTCTAACTTTATTATTAATATTTTGACGGAAAGATCCATTAGCGTTATATTGTCTGATTCTAATATTTTGTCTCGAGTTGTATGGAAGGGTCTCCCGCAGGGATCACCACTCAGTCCTCTTTTATATAACATCTATACATACGACTTAGAGTCATATGTAAATCAAAACAGTGAGAAAGTCGTTGTACTTCAATATGCGGATGATTTATTGATGTATTTTATTGATCATTCTGTTCAAAAAGCGTGTTCTTTAATTTCCACTTCTTTAGAAAAATTAAAATTTTGGATGGATTGTAACGGTCTTGAATTGTCTGCGGCTAAGAGTGCAGTTGTTCTGTTTTCTAGAATGCGAGTTCCACCCCCTATAAATATCTGTTACAATAATCAGTGTATCCCAGTAAAGACAAAAATAAAATTTTTAGGCATAATTCTCGATTCTAAATTATCTGGTTTACCACATTGTGAATACGTTTCAGCTAAATGTGAACGACTTCTTAATATTCTAAGATGCCTTACGGGTGTGTGGTGGGGATCCCATCCATTTCAATTAAAACTAATATATAATGCTCTCATAAGGAGTGTTATGGATTATGGTACATTTATTTTGGAACCTGCTAATGCTACAGCCCTAAAAAAATTGGATAATATTCAAGCTAAAGCTCTAAGGATTATATTGGGCGCCATGAAATCTAGTCCCATTAATGCGATGCAAGTAGAATGTTGTGATCCTCCATTGTATTTAAGGCGTCAGTATTTATCTGATAAATTTTTATTTCGTATTTTACAGTTTTCTAATCATCCTCTGATCCCTAAATTGCAATCGCTCTCTGATCTTGTTTCTTCGTCATCCTATTGGTCTCATAAATCTCTACCTTGCTTAGTAAAAAGTTACAGAACTTTTACTGCCATCCGAGCTCCCACTCATCGATCTCCCTGTCTTCCATTATTTAGTTCAGCATATGAATCTTTAACTTTTACCCCTGATGTTCATTTTGATATTAACATAGAAAAAGAACATCCTAATGTAAATGCAATGTTTAATCAAGTAGTAAACTCTAAATGGGAAAGCCATCATCAAATTTATTGTGACGCATCGAAACACTCACATACAGGAAATGTTGGTGTAGGAATTTACCACTCACAATATCATATAATTCAGAAAATTAAATTTCCACCAGAGACCTCTGTTTTTACTGGTGAATGCTATGGAATTTTTAAAGCAGTAGAATATATTAAAATTTTTAATCTTAAGCAAACTGTTATATTTACGGACTCTAAAAGTGCTCTTCAAGCTCTAATTAAATGTCCATTCAAATCATCTAAACAGTATCCTCTAATTTTTGATATCCGAGATATGTTGAATAGCATTCGTCTCAAAGGACATATTGTATCTTTTGTTTGGATTCCGGGTCACTGTGGCATTCGGGGCAACGAAAAAGCAGATTTGCTTGCGAATGAAGCTATATTATCTGGAGATCTATTTCCTTATAAAAACTTTTGCCATGATCTGACTGCCTTGTCTAAGTCTTGTCTTCATGATTCATGGAGTCAAGATTGGACAATAAGTAGCAAAATTAAAGGGAAACAGTACTGTTTAGTCCAACCGTTTATAGCTCTTAAACCGTGGTTTTTCAAATTACATCTTGATAAAAGATCAACTAGTGTTTTGATTCGTATGCGAATTGGTCATGTTTGCAGCCCTGAACATTTAACAAAACTACGTATAAAAGACAATAATATCTGTGAATGTGGAGAAGATGTGGGTGATCTAAATCATATTGTGTTTTCCTGCTCCTCTTACGATCGTTCTTCATTTATAGAGACACTCATCTCATTAGAAATTCCTTTTCCTTCATCCATTGTATGCCTATTAGCTCATCCTAATCCTATAATTTATAAATCTCTTGCGTCTTTTATTTCCCATAATAACATTAAACTTTAAAACCCATGATCACTAATTCCGAGTATATTCAAAATTTAACCCGTTCCTTTCCATTATCCCGTCTCGTTTCCTGTTTTTAGTGGCATAATAGGCAACACTAGCCTCTTGCCAAAGAAGAGAAAAAAAAAAAAAAAAAAAAAAAAAATATTTGCTTTCGCTCGTAAGGACAAAAATTTTAGAGATGTATGACACAATTTGAGTTAACTCGAGTTGAATTCTGCCAACTCGAGTTGGAAGAATTCAACTGGTAAATGAATGATTCAAGTGAAAAAGCGAGAGCATGATTCTGTTATCGAACTGACAATGACATGAAATTTTGCGATCATTTCATATCATACAATTTTCACTCGTCACAAATATTTCAATATTGATTTGAGGTTGTTATCATTTTTTTTTCGCATATTCATCCGATTATGTTATCAATAAAATGATTATATATTCCATAACTCCTTCCGCGGCTTTAAAGTGCCATTTCTACTCGCCCCCTAAAGTTCGGTAAAGCTTTCAAGGCTAGCTGCGCCCAAAAACATTAGAATTGTGCGAAAGAATTAAAAAAAAGTTTTTATTCCGGGTAACTCGAGTTAACTCGAGGTACCTCGAGGTACTCGAGTTAACTCGAGTCATGTTTATTACGAGTTTGCACATCGCTAAAAAATTTATTAAAAACATAGTTTTTTTTTTGTTATTTCGGAATTTTCCGCTTCTGGAAAAGGCAAAAGGACTCAGCCTATACAGTCTAGAATCAGTTGATCGCAGCTGGCCTTGGCAGCTTCAACGAACCATAGGGTACGTATAAACATGCATAGCTGGAGTTCAACTCACACTTTTTTTTATACTCACTAACGAGCTCGAACATTTTTTTACATTTTACACGTCCACTCACTGGCGATTCGAAAATGTTGCAAACAAGGGGATTGTTAAAGTTGAATAGCGCTAGTATAAAGTCTATGAGTGGTTACTAGGGCTACCCTCCTTGTTTATTGTCACTCTAAAAAAAAACTGAAAAAGTGTGTGTCATATACGTCTTCTATAAATTGTAAATAATTTTTGTCTATAGTGCGTGCCTCTGATACATGACGCTGGCATAAATGGTCGTAAAAATAACGACCGCTTGCCATAAAAGGAAAGAAGAAGAAGTAGTGTTAAAGTTTTCGTGTCGTGTCATGTACCTACTTACCCGATCCTTTCCAGTATTTAATACCCGTATCTGCTTCCGTCTCCACCGCTTACAATATTTGGTAAGGCACTCTAGTTATATTAGGGATTTACTTTTAAGTACCGGCATAATTATACTAGGTACTTCAAAATAACAAACACCTTTTTGTATGGGTGCGCAAACGAGCCTTGGAACTGTAGCTGACTTTCACTAGCTTCGTCCCACAACTCTCAACTGTCTTGAAAGTTTTCCACCAGGAGGATATAATTGACGAAAGGTCTCTCTGGCTCACGTACTATAATGTGTATATTTACACAATCTTCCTAAGCGGGCAAATTGGCAAACTGTGAAGCTCACTTAGTGCGACGTAAAGAAATAATTCAATAATTGTGATCAAGTCCATTTCACATAGTGACATCTTTACTTCTATTAGAAATGCGAATTGTGTCTATTTATTTCGTCCTTGCAAGTAAATAAATATAGCAAATACCTTTTCCCCCTCATATTTGCTTGTATTCAATGAACTCTAGCAAATGCATTACAGTATGTATAATATTCTCTTATCTGCAATTGCAGGTAATATAAATTGAGTTGTTCAGAACCATTCTTTTGTAGTAATAAACTATTACTAGTAAATATAAAAGGGAAAACAAATTATTTTCACTTTTGGTTACAAAAAATTTATTGAGTTTATAATATTTACATACAGTACAGATGTAGTCATTGAAGTTATAATCTAAGTTCTAGATTAATGTTATAATTAATAATACCACCAAATATAAATGTAATGCTCCATTACTAATACTTGCATATTCATACTGGCTAGCAAATGAAGTATTCAAAAGACTACAAAAAGAATGAGATTTTTAATATGGTGGGAATGATCATCATGATCATGATCATTTAACATATTGTTTACTTACATATATAAAACAATCTTTTTTATATTAGATGAGACAGTAAACATTTAAATTTGTTGAAAAATATATGAGTTTTAGATTGTGACTTTAATTTTTTTTCCAAACTAATGTTTTATTATTAGCAGGCATTTCTACAGTATCTATAAGACATAGGCTATTCTCTTCACCTAATTTAATTAAATCATTAATATCACGAATACCCCAAGAAGGATCTCTGGATTTTAGAGATGCATTGAATTCAATATTACTTTGTGGAGTTATTACCCCATCCTTACTATAAGGCCCATAAGTTATCATAAGAGCATCACTTTTCAAATATTGACCAGCATTTTCAAATAACCCAATTGTGCATTCATAAGGGCTAATGTGTATCATATTAGCACTATACATATAATCAATACTGTTGTGTTCAATACCATAATAATTCAATTTCTGCCTTATATCAAGTAGTATTGGATTTAACATATTCTTGGTTGGACATGTTTTTGCATAATAGGTAATACTACCAAATAAATTTTCCTCTATTTCGGATGGTTGAAATTTTACCCCAGGGAAATGGGGTGCAAAATGAAATAAGTGTTGACCAGATCCAGAGGCTATCTCCAAAAATAATGGGCTGAGATCTTCTACTTTATCAGTATCACAGTTAATGAATCTTTTTAAAACTTGTAATATAGGCTCTTTGTTTCGTGTTGCTGCTGGATATATCAATTTCTCTCCTTTGATGCTGTAAAAGTAATTATCGTAATTTAGTTCAATTAACTAAATAATAGGTATCTGTAAATGAGATGTTATATTAAATAATGTATGTATATTATATAATAAGTTAAATAAAAGAGTCTAAAATACTTTTGAATTTAATTGCTATTCATTAGAGAGCATGAAAAAACTATTTATTTAGTATTTTAGGATCTTAGAAGAAACAACTGCCTTTTAGGCCACTCACACATTATTATAAATATAAATATAAATATAAAAAAACTGTAAAACTCATGTTGCTAACTACGTAAGGTAAGAAAGTATTCTTAATGTTGTAAAAATACATTAATTTACAAAAAGTATATCAAACACACATACCTCTCGTTTAGAAGAAAAGTGCAAGCGAAATCCCTATTATTCGACATGAAGCCTATCAACACTTTAGTCAGTTTAAATGTATTGGATATATTAAATGAGAAAAATATCTTAACTATTGTACGTACGAAATAATACTGAATTAAGCTGAAATTAAAATTCGTCTTTCCATTAAGACATGCCTATCACCGAGTTATTTACATCATAAATTCATTTTGTTACAAAATTCACCCCTTGGTTATTTGGAATCAGATGCTTGTATACTCAGAATCTTTTCACCGTATTAAGAGAAACAGAATAAACGAATAAATAATATAGTTTATTTTTTTCTTTTGTAATGGCTTGGCACTATGGTGCATTTGCCAACATCAAAGTTTACCATTTACAAAAGTTTAATTTAATTTTTTAAATAGTACATACGGTTTTAATACATTTTTTGATATAAATCAAGCGTCAACCAACCAACCTATTTTTTTAGTTCGGCTCTCTAGGTTCGGCTTTTCCGTCTCAGGAAATGGCAAAAGGACTCGGCCCATACAGCCAAACAGAATATAAATAAATTATCTTTAAGTAGATCAATATTATAGGCAATGAAATAAATAACAACACGACTGATTTAAACTGGGTTTATTGGCAGACGGGACGAAAGTTGTGAGGGTGAATTGTTTCACATACAGACGATGTCAAACAATTCACCGTCACAACTTTATAACGCGCGTACCCTACATTACATAAATATATATAAATATACAGCAAAAGCAAGTGTTGCCAGATAATCATGTTGCGTCATTGTTTTTTATGCTACGTTTACATTCAGCTGCTTCCCCTGCCTCTCGCGCTGCCGGAAATATTGCCGGGCGACAACTGAGCGAGAGGGCTGAATGCAAACACACGCTGCCAGTCCTTTGACTCGCGCACGAAAAACCGACAATCGAGGGAGCGCCGGGCAGCGCCATGGGAAGTATCGTGTTTACACACTCGCATTGCTTACTTCCCTACCCACTCGGGCTGAGTGTAAATTGAGCTTTAAGTTTTGTGCATTCCTCGTTTTTAGATCTTTATATATTATTGGCTTCCTGATATTAGACTTTTGGCACAAGTGCTATTAACTCACTCACTCAGTACCAAAAATTAGTAATGACTTACTCCTTTACTTTTGTGGTTTCTGTACAACTAGTAATTATATTATAGTATTAAGTCACAAACCAACATGTTTTCCTTTCACACAGCGAAATATTTTACATAAATATTTACTTAGGTGTATGTTTCATGAAATATCGTCACAATACATAGAATGAAAGTCATTTCTTTTATAAAAAATGCAGTTAGTTTTTTTAGTGAGATCATATGTAAAAAAAAAATATTTTAATACAACAACCCTATATTTATCAATACCTATACTTTGTTAATTTTATGCTAATGTATTTTAAATAAACAACCCCACAGTATTTCTGAGTAAACTATGAAAATGATAAAATTAGTATTAATTTCCGATTGTGCCACAACCCTGTTTAAAAATTGCAAAAAGGTGGCAACATAGCTAGTGTCAAATTTAACTCGACATTGAAAACAGATTATTGAGTGTTTAATATTTGATATAAGTGCTTTGTATATTATTAAAACAGAAAATACGCCAACTTTCACAAGTATGGCTAAAAGATCTTCGTCTGTCGCATTTGATGTAGAACAAAAAATAAAGAAGAAAGAAGGAAAAAAACACTCTTTAGATTCTGATGAAGAGGATAGTGGCGCAGAAGAGGAAAAGCAAAATGTACTTAATGCTGATGATATAGAGGGAGAAGAAGAGGGCATAGGCGGAATGGAAGGTGAAGTAAGTAATATATATTAACTGAAGCCTTATTTTCTATCGTCTCTTGAGACATGCCAGCCTGGACTAATGATAACTAATTTAATGACGGTGTATTAGTATTACTAATGGTTAAGTCCCAAGAAGTAGGTTAGGGAGTGTTATTATTGTTGCAATTTAGTTTTTAACGAATTGGTATGATAATGGCCTCTGCTATAATAATAATGTATTTTTTTTTCTTATTGATGATGGAATAGCGCTATGAGACACCCATAATGCTAACTGTCAGTGCAGGTGACACACCAATGAAAGATGATAGGAATAGCATGAAGTCATGTCAGTTAGCCCATTGGTGTGAATTTAGTAGCAATTGGCAATTATTAATTGAATCCAGGCAGTCTGTTTGAATCTGTCAGCAATGTCAATTTTTAGCTAATATGTTGATAATTACAGATAACAATAACTCCTTTTAATATGAAGGAAGAACTTGAAGAAGGGCACTTTGATACACAAGGTCATTATCATTGGAAGAAAGAAAAGGAAATCAGGGATGGTTGGCTTGACAACATTGACTGGGTAAAGGTAAAAGGCCGTCCAGAAGATAAATATAAAATACACAAAGATGATGAGATGAAAGGACTTGGTGATGAATCCAGTAGTGATGATGATGATGCTGAGGAAAAATTTGATTTATATGAAAACTACAATGAAATCTTCCAGCACATCAAACCGAGAGAAACAATTGCAAAAGCTTTACAGCGTCTTGGTATAAACACTTAATTTCAATTTATCTTTTGTAATTAAAATTTAATTTTTTAAATGGCAAACTAAGTAATGGTCCACCTGATGGTAAATGGCAAACTTAGCCTATATACATTAATAATACTAATAAAATATAGTGTATAATTTGGAAGTTTTACCAGGTAGACTTCATAAAGAAATATTAGTATGGAAAACAATGAGATATTTAATTTAGCTGTATTATGTATTATATTTCTTATAAAACTTGTTACCCATTCAGTTGATGTGAGCACAATGTTAAATTGTTTGAAATGTACAATACTATACTTAAAGTACTAAATGAAACAGCTATAGTTGGGGGGAAAGGGGATTGTTAGTAATATGGACTGATGATCTCATTATTAAAACAAACAGCTGTAGTTAGATTTATTTGTCAAATATGAACCTTTTCATGAAATAATTTTTATTAATATTGTAGGTGCAAATTCAAAGGTATCAAGTGCAGAACGATGGAAAAGGAAGAAAGCAGGTATTGTTGATGAAGGCAGTAAAATTGTTACCAGAATAACAGAACTTGCAAACCAAATTTTAACCAAAACTGGTAATATGGATATATACCAAGAAACATATGAAAAAATCAATAACATTTTAAACAAACATAAAAGTAAAAAGGAGGACACAAATTTAGATATGTATGCTGATGATTTTGATGAAAAAGAAAAACAGAATCTTGGTAACAATAAGAGTGAAAATCAAAGTACTGTCTCAGAGAGTAATGAGGAAGAAAAGGATAATCAGGAGGTAAAATGGGAATTCAAATGGAATCAGAATGATGACAATGTCACAGGTCCACACTCCACCCAACAAATGCATAAATGGTCAACAGAAGGCTACTTTAAGTCAGGTGTTTGGGTGAGAAAACATGGCGAAGATAGCCAGTTTTATACATCAAACAGAATGGATTTTGAATTGTACATGTGAGTTAAAATAACAGTGAAGCTACTCTAACGCGAATGATGGAAACAGTCAACACAGTCATGGTGATATACTTATAATAAAGATGATGAAAATAGAATAAATATGATTGATAGATTTTCAATTAATCAATAACTTTTGTCAGTACCTTGAGGTAATATTTTAAAAACGTTTGTAAATCAAATTGACATGTTTGCCAAAACTAACATGACTTTGCTGGAGAATATATTTGTTGACTTTTAACATGCTTTTCTAATTATACTCATTCCTGTTGGTTTTTTTTGCCACACTGGATAAAAAATCATATTATTTACTAAATAAAACATTTGTTTCTCTAAACATATTTTTTTATACTTTTACCAAATAACTTATTAACAATAACATAAATATTTATATCAGTCAATAATTTGGCTAATTGATGAATTAATACAATGAATAATGTAATTACTTGGACAATAACAAATTGTGATATTGACATGCCAATATCAAGCCAGCTACCTGTATTCTTAACATTGTAGAGTAAGAGTATTCCCATTATGTTGGAATAAATCAATACTATTATGACAAGATAGCCAGTAGGGGCCTGAAAAAAAAACAGATATTAAAATATACCTATTGAATGTGAGTAAATTACCGAAAAACATGCCCATTGATGAACCAAAACTGAGGTCTGCAATAGAAACATTTATTATTATATATCTATTTGTTTTGATTTGGGTGTTATTGGATGTATTATAGGTATGTATTTATCATTAAATGTCTTATCAATTATCTAGTACACATGGTACAAGCTCAGCGTAGTTTGGATCAAAATAACACAGTAATTCATACAATTAACTTAAATAAGTAGATATGTTATATAAGTCGATATTACCTTCGTTAAAAGTTGAATAGCTCTAAAACTGCATGCCACTATTAAAAATGGGGACAATGTTTTTAGTAGTATAAGTCCTGTTATTATAAATGGTTTGAATGATGTTATAAAACATGTTACCCATCTGATTTCAAATGAATTTAATGATGCTATATTGCCTGTACCAAAAAATGCTAAAATAATGTATACAGTCTGATAAAGTACACGTTAAGGAATATAATATTTTACTCCAATGTAATTATTAAATAATAATACAATTCTTTAATTAAAAGGATACAAAGTAGAAAGCTCTTCTAAAGTCTTGATTACTAATACTGCGTTCTATTGTAATTAAATTACTCGATGTCTCTATATTGCCAAAGGTGCATTCAGTCATCTACAATGGAAATATGTAGCAGAATAAATCATAATTAAAAACTTAATATTTACAGACAATTTGATATGTCTTTGTTTTACCTTCACATTTTTTAAGTGCATCAGTTTAAATTCAATACAAATCCAACAAGTCATATTGAATATCAGTGCAACCATGAACAGACCCTCGTGTGATACAGACAACAATAAGTAGAAATTTAAAATTGATGTATTAATGGCCATTAAACGACAAATTAATTTCCTTGAAAAAATCAATGGCATCACTACCGAAGTGGCTGAAAACAGTATAAAGTATGTTAATAATACATATATATATAGTTCAAAGAGCTAAACAAAATCAATGGGTTAAACCAAAAGCCAAAACTATTTGAATAAATAATAGTCACTATTAAAAATGCGTAATGGAGATTTTTTTTATGATTGATTGAAGATTGTTCAGCATGGGTACAAAATTAGTATGGGACACATGAGAGTAAACTCTGTCGATTGCAAAAAGAATCATTAAAATCTATCAATATACTTAAGATATTGTATAACATATAAACTCAAAAACAACGATGAGCTCAGGTGCTCCTTACTGGACTCGTGTGTAAATCAAATGAAATTAAAAATTCAAATATTTCAAATTGTACCCAAAGGTAGTCTAAAATAGTCAGAAATGTTCTAAATACCTGCAATAATCCACGCTAAAGCTTGATGCGTTTGGGACACTGCTGTTCCATTTTCAAATCTTTTAGATTGCACAAGAATATTTTGGAGTGATAAAATTAATAATACTAGCTGTAAAACAGTCAATACTATGTCTTTGCGTCTTATATGGTTAGCTCGATAAAGTGGAATTAAGAATTTCCATATATATATAGCAACCACGAATGACCAAATACTTCCTGCTAAAAGGCTAAAATATCAAATTAATAAAAATTTAAATCTTATACTATTATTTATTACACAATATTCAATATATTATGATAGCTCCGGTGGTATACCGGTATAGCACATGGATTGTTTTGTATATTACATATGTATTTACAAAAAAAAATTCTAACTATTATCTAATACCCATAACACAAGCTCTGATTAGTTTGCGGCTAGATGGCGTTGTGTGAATCATCCCGGGTTATTATTTTAAAATTGTATTCCATATAAAAAACAAGTTCAGAATGTGCACTACTGAAGCTAAAAATACTTACACCAGTTCTATAAATGTATCTTTACCAACTGTAGGCATAAATGCAAAAATGCTAAGCAGTATACAACTGCTGGTCCATGAAAATAATACCAACTTTGTTGAATAAACTTTTATTGAACTCAAGTAAGGCCATAAACCCATACTCAATATTGGTATACTTAGCATCCACCTATAAGTAAAAGATATTCCCTGAAAGATTAAATCAGTACATAGGTACTATGTAATAGGTAAATAATAACTTACTTGTTATAAAATTTAAATAGATAAGATACTATATAGACCCATAAAAGCGGAATAAATGTCATTTTCCTTTTTTGTTCTTTATCATTTTGGTTTGTTTGTTTTTCAGTAACTTGCTTAAAATGCTTCATCAGCAAGAGATAACTATTTTAAATATATCTATGAATCTGCATATACATATGAAGCACGAAATTTGGAAATTAAATTAATATTATGCATTTAAATGGAGGTGTGAATAACAAGAATAATTTTATGAGTAATAATTTTCTGGTATCATTTGCCAGAGATAACAGCTGACAAATTCTATATTACTGGGTATTGTCAAGACCCCTAACAACAAATTAATATTATTTTAATAGAAATTGTTTATTATTATCCTGACATCAAGATATTACAACTTGTCTAGATTCATGATTAACCACCATATAAATCTATCCATTGCCTAATATGGCCTTATCCAATGTATCCATAAATTAATTTGAAGTAGAAGTTTAGCAAAATTTGTCTATGTGTAGAACTTTTAGCAACTTTTAATTATAAAATGCCATACTGACCATAGCTATTGATCCTAGTATGTAAAATAGAATTTCTGACAAAAATGTACATATTTTCCTTTCTCTGTATATTTTTTTTAATAACAATATCCATATTTTGAAAGAGGACAGAGTATTCCACCACAAATAAATAGGCATCAAAACATAGATGTAATACTGATGTGGTAAATTCTGCACTAAAAAAAAATTGGAATAAATAATTAAATGTAATAATTAGAAAATCATATGAATAATAGAACGTCAGATTTTTACCATATAATAGAGATATAGATACAATTAATAAACATAAGAATACTGCATTTAATATATTAATTGTAAAGTTGTTTCTAATAATACTGAAACTATTGTTCTGTATACTTGATGCATCTACTTGACTATTAATTCTTTGTTCTGTTAAAGATTTTAATAGACATCCAATCCATCCTATAAATGACAAGGTGACTAGAACCAGAAGTGGTTTCTGATAATAATTATGATAATAATTCAAGCCAGATAAACTTAAATGCATCACTTCTGTACTCAAAAGTATCAGTTTTTCATAATCTTCATTGTCTTGGGTTTCATTAGTAAGCATTTTTTCAGTAAATTCAATTACTTCCTGGTACTTTTTATGGTTGAATTTCTTGTAAGGTTTGTATATTTTTTGTATTACATTGCTCTCTATGCTTAATCTCTGTGTATTATATTGTGATGCCAGTTGTCTGCTATTACTATAAATGGCTTTTGCTCTATTGGCTAATGACATATTTAATAAATGTGATGGTAACTGTCCCTGAAAATAATTAAAATATATTCAGTATGTGTATACATTCTGGATTTTTTTTATTGATATTGTAAATATAAACTTTGTAAAGTTTGATTGTTTTTCAGTTGGATATTTGTTCATATTTAATCAAACAATAATATACATAGATGATATCATTAAAGAATAACTACAAAAATATTAGTACATCACCGAAGCCATGGGTAAGTTTGTAAATTAATCTAGTGCCTATGTTAGCTAAGTCAATTATATTCTTATATTTATTATATTAATGCTGTAAATCATGGCCATTTTCACATGAATTAGGATTAAAACATTATGTTCCAGGTACCTTGCAGAGCAGGCATAGTATACAAGAGAACAGAGCATACAAAATACTCTTCATTTACTTTCATAACGTGTCTAATGTATTCATGCCAGTTACACAGACTTGACTCATCCAGAAAATATATATTATATAAAATTATATAAATTATGTCACAAAATCACAAAAAATTAGTTTCATGAATATTACCATCAGATACTTAGTTATAATAGATAAACAAAAGTGTCTATCTATTATAACTAAGTATACCATTTAGAACACTACACATACTCACTACAGAATTAACAGGAACTGGTATTGAAAGAATAGTAGACATAAGTGGTGCCAAATCAGCTTGATTAATATCCACCCTATGCTTCAAAGACATTCCATTTGTTTCTGAATCAAGTTCCAAATCAAGTTGACCCTGTTCTACTTGTTCGACTCCTGCTCCCCAGATTACATATGGAGTTTGGGTTTCATGATCCAATCCAGCACCATGAGAACCTATTTTCATATATAAAATAAGATTTTGTTTAAAAGTTCAATCATGATAATGCATTGCAATCTTAAATAGATATAAATAAAAAATGTATTACACATTTTTTATTTATATCTGTGAGGGAAGTTACCTCCGAACTTCTCACGTTAACAGAGTAACTATAGTGGTGTTCAAGTAAATAACGTAGAATAAGATAAACAAAATATATTTCTAATCAAAATAAAATAATATAAAAACACATTTAATACAATATACAGATAAGTTATAGATACATCAATACGACGACAGACAGATAACAAAACACACTCTCTTTTCAAATATTCAAACATACTTCATCTGCCATACCAGCCAGTCTAGACATCGATTGCAAACCTCGTTCTAACAATATCCATTTAAGAATTTTTCTTTTACAGTTCCAAAATTAAGGCCTTCTCAATCCTAAGTAATGCACCTGTCCTAACAAATTTGCTGGGCAGTGAGAGAAACATATGAAATGGATTTAAAATCCCATAGAATAAAACAAGTTTTATTATCTGTCTGAAATTACTATCATCTAATAATATAACAAATAATATTATATACTTAAAATGGTATAGAAATTTATAAAATAAAATATAGAAATAAACATAAAAATAAATAAAAATATTCTTTTAATAGCTTCTACAGCTTAGAATATTATAGGTGCAGCAACTAAAATCATAATCTGATAGTGCGAAATGACTGAAATCGTAACTCTTACCCCAGTCTGTCATGCCATGATCTGAAGTCATCAAAAATGTTGTTCTTTCATCATTATGATAAAACTCCCTTATCAATTTTTCTACTTCCTTTATATTTTCATCAACAAATTTGACTGTGGTTAAAAAGTTGCTAAAAATAAATAGAAATGAAAAACAAAAACTACCAAATTACAATATACATAATTTAGCATTACTGACAAACTGTTTCAATGACAGTTTTATTTAAATTATATAAGAAAACTGAAGCAAATTTTGAACTATATGATTAATATATTACAAATAATATTATATACTTTCAAAAATATAAACATTTATAAATTAAAATATAGAAATAAACATAAAAATAAATAAAAATATTCTTTTAACTACTACCTACTTAAATACCTACTATAGCTAACGTGACCAGACGTCTAAAAACGGGATTGTCTTAATATATATGATAAGTCCCGGTGTCCCCGAAATGACTGACGCAAAATTGTCCCGTTTTTGGAAACTCTTGAAAATATGTTTAGTCATGCCATGATGTAGATTATTGTCATCAAAAATGAATATAAAAAAACGTTCCATTTTTAATATTGTCTTGTAGACAAGCAATTAAAGTTTTTAAATTAATTTAAATTATTTTTCCTTTAAATTTTCATCAACAAATTTGATATATTAAAAAGTATTTAGATAATGATTAATAAATTTAATGAATATAAAAAACTACCAAATTAAAATGTACATTTTTCTATTTAATCATTACTGACAAACTGTTCTCTCTGACAGTTTTATTTAAATTATATAAGAAGAATGCTATTGTAATTACTTTTCTATTTACTGTATTTTCTTATTGTTTATTTTGTGGACACAATAAAGAGTTAATTATTATTATTCTTTTATATATGTTTCATCAACAATTTTTATGGGGGTAATACATTTTTTTAAAGAATTGCAGCTTTAATAAATTGTTTCCATTGACTGTCTATTAATTGATATAAATAAATGTACCTACTTCAAAGAATAAATGGTCCTAACTATAGCCATTCCTTTATGTGTAATACTTTTTTAAGATCTTTCTTACTTTATCCGCTTTCATACTTCATTTCACATAAAGGTTATACTATACAAATGTGTAGTATTATATTAGAGTAATAACTTACAGTGACTTTGGCTTGTGAGTATGACCTGATGTATCAGTGCCTAATAAATGTAAAAAAAACATGATTTTCTTTTGATGTAACTTCTTATAAAGAACTTTATCAGATCGAGCATTTTGAAAGAAAATTCTAACTTTCTCAAATACCCAATTGTCCAAGAGAGTTGTGTTTTTATCTGCACTGAAGGTTTGGTCATATGGATCCATTTTGTTTATGTGTATATGACTATCAACTGTTCCTTTGGTGAATATTTCTAGAATATCATATGTGCCCCAACACCATGTGTAAGCTGTTTGATTGAATACTGAGTCAAAATCAACAGGATTTTCCTTCCAGCCCTTGACTATAGCTGAGGGGTCTTCATAAAAGCCTGCTATGACGGCCACATGCCCAGGTCTTGATTCGGTGGGCATCCTTGTATGAGATATGCCCCATCTTCCATGTGAATTTGCAATTTCTCTACAAAACATTAATATCAGTAAAAATACAGAATTAAAATATGAATATGTCTATTATAACTTAGCCACTTCATATTTTAATCTTGAAAGAAACTCTTTTATTACTATTGAAAATCTTATTTTCGTTGACTTTGAAAGGTATCAGATAATGCCGGTACATTAAGACATTTTGGTATAAACACTATTAAATATTAGCTTAACAATTACCTTAGATAGGTCATAGTACTATAATTAACGAAAGACTCTGCTCTCAGACCATCTATCACGAAGAGAACCAGCCTATCGGCGAGAGCTTCATGATGAGGCTGATATGGAACCACGTTTCTAACAATCGGCGATTTAAAATAAATATCAAAAATTGAAAATAAAAATACGACATGTATGAATAAGCCTATTATAAACATAGTTTTTATGTAATACTTTTATCATTTAGGTTATTGAATTCAATTATATACAAACTACATAAGTAACGAACGACCTAATAAACTTACTACAATACTTTGTACACATACAAATTATTAATTCATTTAGTAAATATAGTAATGCTAATATGTAATTTATAAATAGCATAAGACATGAAAGTTTATAATTACTATTCATTAAAATCTGCATTAAATCAGATATTAATGAACATAAACAAATAAGAAAAACTATTCAAAATTAACTTTGATTATGACAATGACAATCGCGACATTGACAGTTAGTTTTTCTGACGGAATTGGCAAATAAGATGCTAGTATACAGAAATTATACCAAAGACAACGGCTGTATGGGCTTAGACTCTTTGCCTTTCCATTACGAATAAATAAAACAAAAAAAAAAGATACTAGCTAACTGAGGGCGATAATCCATGATAGTGATGGAGTGGCAACCAAAAAGTAATATATCTGGCAAAGAGAACATTATGCTACTAAGAATAAAATACATTTATTCAAATTGATTTGCAATACGTAATTTTACTAATTGCTAATTACTAATTTAATAATTAAAATCTACTTTGATAATGCTGTGAGTGCTGTGTGTGACTATAGCTAGCACAGCCACAGCGCTAATTTTCAGGGATAATAACTTAAGAGATATATTTTTAATCTTAGTAATTAACTCAATTACGTAATGTACCTTCGGTGATAATTTCTCTTTAAAATCCAATAACATATCAATTTAATTAACATTTTCTAATTATCAGTATTTAGCAAATTATTAGCTTTTAGTCCTTAGCTTTGCAGGACTTGTGACTTATTCATTCTTTTTATTAACCGATATAAAAAAGAGGTTATCTTTAGAAACAAAATACCTATAACTCAGAACTTTTTTATTTAGAAACCAAACTTGCAGATTGGCTTCATAGAAATTTGATTAAGATCGATCCCAGTAATCTGATTTTAAAATTTGTCAAAGATATTTATAGACACTAAAATAATCCTAATGAACTGCCTTTCTTCTTAGTTATGTTACTGTAGGTACATACTGATAATATTCTTATATTCAGAGAAAATTACAATGATTTTGAAATTTTATTGCTTATTATCTGACATAGAAATGTCCTTGCCATTTTCTATATTGGCACCTGCTGATAATAAAGTAAATAATTCCATTTCTTGAGTCTTCTCTAAGTCGTTTAATATTGTTTCACAAAAAGTCTTCTCATCAAAAAGTTCAGGAGGAGTAAGGTCCAAAGTAATATAAACTCGACGTATTTGCCCAGCACTAAGCCAGCCCCGTTGTCCTGGATCAAAACTTTTAACAACAGCTTCTAGGTGTCTATAAAAATATACGAATTTTAAGTATTTACCCCCTTATTCATGAAATATAAAACGTAGAATTCATTCTAATAAAATAATTGCCATGGTTAAGAAAAGGAGAACCAGAAAGAACGCCGTTTACAACCTTTTTTATAGATCGGCATTCATTCAAGGTAAGGTTTACCTCTGGTCCCCCACGACCCTCGATTGTACTTAATTTCTTTATTCATTTCATTTTTATTGTTTTGATTCAAAAATTCATCCAGCAATAGCGTTTCCGAATAGATGATGACCTTCAGGAAAAAAGTTTATTCCTTCTTAAAAGGCTGGCTAGTCACATGCCACATGTCAAATGCTATGGTCTTCTGGGTGCTCATCGGCGGCGGTAAACACTTACCATCAGGTGCCACAATCTCTCTTGTCCCCTAAGCTATCATAATATAATAATAGTATCCTGTGTTTCGAGAGTAGATTAAGAAAGTAGCAACCTCGCAAACATGTATTTTTTATATAAATAGATCTTATGCCCTATGTTGGTCATTAAGATCAAGAACAACTTAATAGCGTTATCTAAATTTTGGCCAACTACGTCTAGTGTACACTGGACTGTGATTACTTGCTAGTACACTTATTCTAAATAAGTAACCGTAATTGAAACTCCTTAATATAATTATCTCCACCATTATATAAATTATCATGCGAGAGTAAATTAGTCATCAGAAACTATTTCTAGCTTGCGGGCAATACGGTCCCAATTATACTGTTGAGTACTGACAAAAACAATGTAAAAAAGGATATACCTTCTTTCATATAAAACTGGTGCTGGTCCATGTCCAGCTCGAAACAACATGCAGTCGTCTAGTAATTTTTCTAAATAATCCATCGGTTTATTTGGTGCTTCAGTTATTACTTTAGTTAGTAAAAAGCGTATGAGTTCAGGTATGCGACGTTCTTTTAAATAGTTTTCTGTTCTTGTTACAGAACTTAGAATCTGTAGCTTACGTGCCGGTATTACAATTTGTTCGTTTGAAAGACTTTCAATCAAACATTTACAAACTGAAACTGATTCGTATTTGAATTCTGGTTGAAAAATACTAAGTTCTTCATCCATACTATGGGAGCAGATAATGGCAAATTTTAGTAACTTCGCTCTTTATGTTCAAAAAATCGTTTTTTTTTAATGTATAGTTACTACTGTGTCAGTTGTTTTGTTTACCATAGTTACCACAATATGGTAAGGTGGCAATGAAAAGTTTACAGTAGTACCTATTCGGAATTGATAAATTTCATAATTACAAAGATATAACAGTAGTTTGTAGGCATAGACTCTGAATGGCAAGTGTACTTGCCTTGAGTCGTAAAACATATTTAAATGGTACGTCAACTGTTGTTCAATGATACGAATAGAAATTTATTTCCGTTTTTAAAAATAACCGGTATAAATTAGGATGTTACTTGAAATTTTCAGAATAATAATTTGGAAATATTTGTAAATTTATTGTATTTGTATAGCGTACATTTTTTCCTATATATTTTTTTCTTTTGTAATGGCTTGGCACTATGGTTCATTTGCCAACATCGAAGTATTTTTGATTTACAAATATTATTAAAGACTATTTTAGTGTTCTCAAATTTAATCGATAATATGTATATTATGTTGATAAATTGAATATATAATAATTGAATATATATTAAATTCATTATACAATTTATCGGTTTTCATTTTATGAATATATTTACTTACAACAATATCCAACTAATATTTCCAACAGACATACATACGAGAAAATCACTGAAATATATAAATAATAAAAATATTTCTTTTATGTCATCGTACCGAATTAATTATTTTTCATTTATTATCTTTGGTACCTATATAAACCGATTTTCATTAATAGCTGGTCATTCTCCGGTTTTTTAAAGATGTAGTACACCACTGTTATCTCGACCATCTCAACCGCCGAATGTTTTGAACAGTTATTTAGTTTTGAAATTTATTTTTGTTATGTTTTGTTCGTTCTAAACGAATGCTATTTGCGTACATATGAAAATTATAATTGATGCCTACTTTGTAATATATTTGACTTGTAATATGTCTTTAACGTGTGAAAAGTGAGTGGCTCATGTTTTGTGAAATCTTTACCCTTTAAATATGTCGTCTTTTCACAAAAATGCAGATGAAATCCGTATTGGGAAGATCGATGACTGTAAGTACATTTGTTATTGCATTTCTTATGGTAATTATTTGAAACGAAATTTGATTATTTTCAAGAACATCCTCATTGGGTTATACCTTATCTTACCTTCATCCAATTTTAAATTTACTTTCTATCAGTAGGAATATAAAATTTTTAACAGGTTTTTATCTTCGTCTACTTACTTCAAAACAATGGCTTGCTGTAACCTTTTGTCATCTTATTGGTATCAATTCTGGTCCATCTCATTCTGTGTTCGTCTTGTTTTGTACTCGTAGTAGAATTAAATTTAAAAAATGTTTATTTTGGTACATAACACTTATATGATAATTTTAGGCGATTCAGATATTCGCAAAACTGGGCAAGAGATGGATGTGATCCGACAGAGAACTATTGCATATGAATACTTATGTAGATTGGAAGAAGCCAAAACCTGGATGGAAACATGTTTGAAAGAAAGATTACCACATGCTACTGATTTTGAAGAAAGCTTGCGCAATGGAGTTTATTTGGCTAAGCTTGGGAATTTCATAGCACCTGAAGCACTTACATTAAATAAGATTTATGATATTGACCAAAGACGATATAAGGTAAAGCCTAAAATTACTATTATACTTTTTCATTATGTGTAATTCTATAATAACAGCGTTTTACCTTACAATAAAATGCTTATTAACTGCTTACCTAATTCGAAGCCTGTAAATGAGAGTAGCGATACTATTTTTTGATACTGATGTGGATGTTATGTCACTTTTTGCCGGAAGTACACCTCCATTTTGTTAGTTCAACTTTCCTCCACCAGGTGTTAGTAGTGTGTTTTACTTCTGGTGTTAGTTTACTTGTGTTGTGCGGAGTCCCAATTTAGGTGATTGCGTTCGAATTTACACCAGGCAAAGTTAGAAGTAGGCTTTGAATTAGGTAAGGAGTTAATAAGCGTTTTATTGTAAGGTAAAACACTGTTATTAACTCGCTGTACCATAATTTGAAGCCTGTAAATGAGACGTCACCTGGTGGAGGATGATCTAACGCCAATGTGATGTAAAATAAAAATATATATATACATAGTATATATTTTTATTTTACATCACATACATGTATTTGTGCCAATGAAGCATGGAATTTCATATCAAGTATTATGTGAGGAAAACAGGTTTAACTAAAATCCAAATGTTGTAATTATTCAATATTTATAAAAAAAAAAATTATATCATGGATATTATGAAATCCATTAATTTGCCATTAATTAGTTATATTAAGTAGAAACAATATATATATGTGTCAATCTTCAAGACAAAAACAAAAAAACAGTTAATATATTAGTAAAAGTAAAGCGAGAATCGATAATATAATACTCATATAATGAAACGAGTAGAGTATGTCACTACTGTCTGGGTGAGAACATATCAGGTAGAGGATTAGATTGCACGGGTTTGATTTCCCAGCAATAATATTGTGTAAAAGTATTAAAACGTCGCCAATTTCCCTTTGCAAGTATTTCGTCACTACGTCGTAACTCCATCTGATCCGACGACCAGTCCTTTAGGCATGGCGTCCACCCCCACATCTCCAGACCTCGAGAGTTATCTCGAGGGCTCTTGGTGGTGGCAGGCCGGTCGCCGTGTCCACTAGAACCTGATCTAGGTGATATAGTGTAAATGGGGGGGATAATGCCCGGTTCTTGATGTCTGGTCTCCAAAATACCTTGTCCCATACCGGGGCTACGATTAGATAAATTCCTTTCGCTGTATTCAGGTGTGACAGTACTCTGGGTATTAAGAAAGGTGGTGGAAATATCCATGCCAGTGTAAAGTTCCATTCCTGGCTGAAGGCATCGCAAAGTCATGCTTTTTGATCTGTTGGATCTAAGCTGGCATATTGTGATACCATGTGAGCCGTTTTCGATGCCATAAGATCGATGACGGGTTCTCCCCTTTTGTTGAAGATCCTGGCAGTGCCCTTTGGTAGCAGGTGCCACTCGGGAGTCATTTGACAACGAGATAGGCGATCGGCCTCGCTATTGAATATGCCTGGTATGTGATAAGCAATAAGATGGATTTGGTGTCTGTCCAAGAGATTGCAGATTTTTCTTGTGGTGTTCAGGAGACTTATAGATTTCGAGCCTCCCTCTTTCTTAATATAGGAAATAACCGTCTTGTTGTCGCTCTGCAGCATTAGTTCTTCACTTCGACAGGATCCGATGCTGCTCTTTTAGGACGTAAAATACAGCTAACATTTCTTTTAGATTGGAGTGTAAATTTATCTCTTGAGAGGACCAACGACCTGCAATCTCTATATTGTCCAGGCGAGCTCCCCAACCTACATCGGATGCGTCTGTTGTTAAAAAATGACTGGCAGGTGGTATATGAACGAGAGATGACTTTTTGTGATTTCTCATCCACCATTGTATCACCTTCGGGGACTACCGAGCTTCGGGAAGAATTTGATTGGGAGATTATTTTGCAAAAATGGAGAAGTTTGCGATGATTATTTAATCTTTCTCGAGGTATTACGAATCTGGCAAAATTTATAAGACCAATCAGACTTTGCAATTCTTTCAACTTCACAGTTCTTTTCCTCAATATAGGATTTATCTTTGCTACGAGGGACTGACGTTTTAGCAGAGGCAATGACTTTAGATCTGACCAGGGGTCCCAGCATATCCCCAAAAACTCCAGACGAGATTGGGGGGTTAGAATCGACTTCTCGTAATTTATTTGCCATCCCAGCCGTTTCAAAAGTGAAACAGTGTCTCGGACCTGGATTGAAAGTTGATGTTTGTTCTGGTTTACTAGCAAGAAGTCGTCTAGGTATGTAACTATGCGCATGCCTCAATCTCTCAGGGTTTGCGCAACCCAGTTTGTAAGAATGGCAAACGTCTTTGGTGCCGTTGCTAATCCGAATGGGATGGGGAAGGTCATTTGTATATAGTTTTTGATTGAAAATCAATCTCAGAAATCTTCTGTGAAATTTCGTTATTATTAAGTATTCGTTTAAGTTTCTGAGGTTGAATATGGGACGCATGGATCCGTCTGTCTTTGGAGTTAGGAACATACTGGAGATGAAACTCGGAGAGAGCTGCGCGCTCTCTAATATACCCGAATCGATCATGTTCTGGATGGCTTGCTTCATATGGAGGGAGAAACGAGTATGAATTTTGTGATTCTTGAAATTGGGCATGTAAAGTGGAGGTTTTTGTCACAATGGAATTCTGTATGCTTGAATAATTTTTAAAATTGGTTCTGGGGCATCCATTTCTAACCATACATGAGCATAATTTTTTAAACAACCTCCCCCAAAACTCGTAGAGTCAGAATTTTCGTTTCGAACGAAAATTACCAGGACTTGGCCGCGAGTTCTTTGACTGGCCCTTATAAGATACTTCGTCCGGTCGGGATCTGTATCTTTTGTGCGAGTCAGGTCTGTTTGTTTTATCATGGTTCTACGCGAACCGTTTTCTGTCATTATAGTTTTGTATAAAGCTATTTCCCTGCGTAGGAAATGTAGGTATATGATAGGGTACGTAAGCAGAGGAATGCATGTGTGGCATGAAAGAATTAAAGCTATTATTAAATGGTCTGTTAGGATGTCCTTTGAATGTCAAATCTTGAAAGCCCTTCGCGGGCGCTTTCATATTTGATGGTCCTGCTTGCGCAGTGGAGCAGTTGGCAAATTTTTTGGCCAGTTCGTAATACAAACCAGAGTTTGTATTACGAACTGGCCAAAAAATCTTAGCGACACCACCAGATTTTTCAATATAAGATGAAAAAGATTCTTTATTAAAAAGGAACTCATGTGTTGGAGGAATCTTTCGTAATTTAGCACTTACATACTTATCTTTCACGGATCGTAGTATACTATCTCGCCTTTGCTCAATTATATCTGCTCGATGACCACAAGATAATTGGAGAAGGTCACTAGATATTTTGTTAAAAGTACCCTCACTAAATATTTCGTTTAATTTCTGTCTAATCGTTGATGGTGATAGGTCATTAGAACTAGATGATGATAGACTAGAGAATGAGAGTAAAGACTCAAAACCGGCCTGCGCGGCCTCTCTCTGTTTAAGTAACGCTTTGGTAATAGCGGCGAAACTTTTTTCTATTGTACATAGATTAGGATATTTATCGTAAGATTTTATTTCGTCATTACATTCCAGATCAATGAAGCCTGGGGACGATGTATAATTCTTTTGTACTTCAGAAAACCTCACGTCACACCATTGAGAACTGTTAAAATGTTGCAACGAATTCAATAAATTGATGTGTTCGTCCGTTGACTTGGTAGTGGTGGGTTCTTTCAAAATAGTATTAATTGGTAAGTTGAAATTTGTAGTTGATAGACTGACAGAGTTATGCAAGGATGAAAAACATTTTCGCATTCGGAAAACAATTCACCACTGTGATTTAAGCAAATGGTATCATCTTCGTACAGAGGTTGTGTCGTATAGTTACTAAATGGTGCAATATGTGGGGCCGCATTAAATTGGTTATGAGACAAGTATTGTTTTAAATGGTTAGTTATTTAGCCTGCGCAGCTCCTTTGATTTTCTACGTTGTTTGTTGTCTTTGTTCTTCTGCGGAGTGCCATGTCGTTTCCGTTTAGAACCTTCACCATTTTCGGCAGGTTCTGTTGCAGGTACATTCTGGATACTTCCGGACGAATTTGAAGAACACTACTCGAATCACTCATACTAAAATATAATCTAGTTTTGAAAAATAAAATTTTTGTTGAATAATAAAAACCGTTGCAATAAACTTTAAACGAATGAATGAATTATTGTTATTAAAATATATATTGAAGGTAAGTAACATCGATGATGATGATGCAACAATTTTTATTCTTACCTGGCCTCAGCGTACATATGAACGATCCGTTCAGCACGAAAAATAATCCGCCAATGACCTAAATTGGGACTCTGCACAACACAAGTAAACTAACACCACCTGGTGGAGGAAAGTTGAACTAACAAAATGGAGGTGTACTTCCTGCAAAAAGTGACGTAACATCCGCCTCAGTACCGAAAAATAGCATCACTACTCTCATTTACAGGCTTCGAATTACAGTACAGTGAGTTAATAGGATATTTGAAATAAATATTAATATAATAGTTCATACCAAATAAACAAAGTGTAGTCTACTAATAATACTATACTACATATAGTTATTATAATGTGATAGAAAGAAACCAGTCTAATTATGTAGATTTTAAGTTATGTTTTAATAACATCTCTTCAGAATTAGAAAATATCAGTAGTAAAATATAAATAATAGCAATTTGTGCTAATATTGTGCTAATAATTAAAGTAATTCTCATATAGAAGTATGTAATACAATAATACATATTTAATTAACAGAAAAACCTTTGTAGTACTAATAAACAAATTTGAAAATAACAGATTAACATGTATGATGTGACCACTGGTGTAAGAAAATATAATGAGTTTATATAGAACATTCTGATTTTCAAAAATTTTATTTAACTATTAAACTTTCAGATTATGGGTCTACAATTTAAACACACAGACAATATAAATAATTTTTTACAAATATTAAGAAAAACTGAGTTACCTCTGGTAAGTAACATTCTGAAGTGTATGTGTTTTATATAAATATTTCGAGTCTTACTTTGTTTAATTAAAAAAAACAATAATTCTTTTTGTCTTTATTTTAGCTGTGTTCTTGATTTGATACAAAATCACAACCCAAATAGATAAAATGGGTTTGTAAGAATCTTTAAGTTTTATAATTTTACTATATGTAAATCTTTTAGGTTAGTATTGTAATAGGTGATATACAGTTTTTTTTTATTACAGACTTTTCAACCTGAAACTACTGATATTTATGACAAGAAGAACATGCCTCGAGTAATTTATTGTTTACATGCTCTAAGTTCACATTTGTTTAAAATTGGTAAAGCACCTTTAATTCATGATGTGTTTGGGACAGCAGTCTTCACAGGTATATATTTTCTTTATTATAGAATATCTTTCTATTATCTATCTACTTCATATGGGCTTGTGAATTTCAACCAATTATAGAAATTTGCAATTGTCATAAAGAGAATACTACTGTATTTTTTAAACTGATAAAGTTTGTGTTTCTAATGTATACGTAAATTAAGGCAAATAGTTTTTGAATTGTCCTGAATAATGTGGTTGAAGTTATTTTGTACCTTGAAGCTGGTATGATCTTGATCACATACACAGATTTTGCATAAATTTAGTTTCAAAATTTTAAATAATTCAGGCAAATTTAGTGTCAATTTAATATCATAATTTGATTTCTGGCCAATTTAAAATTGTTTTAAAGAAACAGAAATTTACACTATGGATTAATAAATCTGTGTGGATTTCTTAGGGTGTTTTAAATCTAATTGATACCCTAAACAATTTTGATATCTATACACTAATCAATGTAGAAAGATAATTATAATAAAATGCCATAGTTTTTCTGTATAATATTCAGTGATGTAGTATGTAATTGTAAGTTTGGCTAATGTATATTTTATGTTGTTTCAGATGAAGAACTTGATACAGTTTCTAAAGATTTACAGAAATGTGAACATGCACTCCCTATGTTTAAGAAAATAGGTGGTATATTATCAAAAAATGCAGATGATAATGGCAGTACTCATAAAGCAATTTTGTCATTAAATAGAGCTTTAGACACAGAAAAATCAATTACATCTGCCATACTGAATCCTCAACTTAAATTACAATATGTTCAAAATAGGCTCATAAATGAATATAAAAATGTTTTACAGGCAGCCAAACGTGATAAAGTACAGACTGCACTTAATCATTCCCTTAGTGATAGTTATGTTCCTGATGAGTATGATGAATTACTAACACAGTTTGAAATTCAGGGTTATATTACTGCTGTTAATTATAAATTTCTATGGAAGGCTTTATGTTCTGCATGCCAAAATGATGATGTGAATAGTTTACATAAGATATTTAATGAAGACTGGGTAAAGTTAAAGAACTATGTTTCTAACAACATAGACTTTTATTGTGATGTGGTCAAAGAAATCATGGAATGCAGCAAGGATGTTGATGTAGAAAGTGTTACAAATTGGAATATGATATTTCAAAATATTGTAAATGAGGGTAATAAAAAATCAAGTGAGCATATAGACCATAAAGATGCTATTACTCAAGTAAATCATGCATTAGACAGTGGAAATTCAAATGATTTATATTTAGCATTAATCAATGCAAACTTAGGGTTACATTTAAAAATTGAAAAATATGCATCGCCACTATTGTTTGAAGAAATGAAATTGGAAAAATATGAGATGGAGAGAAATTTGAATGAAAATGAAATAGCAGCATCTGTGTCTTACTTAACATCTATAGCTGCTATATCTCAAGCTGTAGATAGAGGAGATGAAGAAGCTGTGTGGAATTCACTTATTTCTAAACAAATCCATTTGGAAGGTCTTCGATCACATTGTAGGCGTCGCTACTTTTCAGCTTTGGTGAATGCACTCCAAGTAAAAATCAGAGAAAACTGCGCATGTCCTCTTCTTACATTAGAAGATATTTGTGACACCATTGAAATGGTTAACATGAAGGATGATGATGATGAGGAATGTATGTATATATTTAGTATCATGTTTGCTATTACTAATTATTTATATTTATTATTGATGTTAGTTAATATTTGTTTGTTTGATTTGTTTACTTTTAGTGGTGGCTGTAATAGATAGTATAAATAAAGCAGTTTTTGAAGAAGATTCTGAAAAACTGATGTCACTGTTGAAATCATCATGTATAAAATATTCATCGCCTCTACATAAAGATGAACAAAATTTATACATGCGGTTGCTAAAAAAGAAATTAGTACACCGAGAATCACAAAATCTGTGGTTAGATGACATTGTTGATACTATTAATGAAGTCAATACTGAGTCAATAAGAGTAAAGGAGCTGACTGATGCTTTAGTACGGCTGAACCTTGCAGTTATTAAAAATGATACTGTTGAATTTTGGAATGCTCTTTCATGCCCTCTACTCTCTGGTTCAGTAATGTTAGAACATTCATGCATAGATATCTACTTCCAAATGTTTTCCAAAACACTAAAAAAGAGAGGACATCACATTTGTCCCTGGGTTGTCTGCCACACTGAAGCTGGAAATACAGTTTATATTGATGTGGAGTCATACACATATAATTGGAATACTCCTAAAGATTTTGTTCCTTATGCGCGTTATTTATCTAGAAAAGATATCAGTATTCTTATAGAAAAAACAAATAAACACCATGTCAATAAATATAAACAATTGATTATAGAAAATTCTATTCTGAAAATACAAGCGGCTTGTAGAGGATATTTGTTTAGATTGAAATTGAAACAAAGGCTTCAGTACTTCAGAGACAATGTTAAGTATATTGTTAAGATTCAAGCATGGTGGAAGCAAGTGTTGATTCAGAGAAAGTATGGGACAGTGATAAAAATTAAAACTATAGAGGCCAAATTGAAACGTGAGAGGAAACAAAATCCATGGGCATGGTATAAAATTCAGGTATGTTACTTTTGTTCATGTATATAAAAACTGTTACTTTTTATAGTTACAAACAAAAATGGCATATTGAAAACCATTTTGGTGTATTATATCCTCAAAAACTTTATATATTTAACATACATATATTTCATATTGGTTACTTATCTTGTATGTTGTAGTCCAGGCACGTTTGCTATTTTCTGATCCTATCTATTTACATAAATATCTATTAGTTCAGAAGCCTCAGTGTATAATACCTTAAATTATATATATGTACACAGTTGTCTTGCATTGATAATAATTCTAAATTCTCTAATTCTTTATCAAACAACTTTCACTAATACATTATTATGTTTTTATTACAGGAACAAAAAATAATAAAAATTCAAGCTTTATGGCGTGGTAGACGAGCTCGTGAAGCCTTTACTTCTTTATTTCATTCAACTAATCCGCCTCTCAAAGCAATAAAAAAGTTCATGCCGTTATTAGCTTTCTCTACAGAAGATTATGATCGAGAAATAGAATTACAGACATCGAAATCTGAAGTAGTCCAGTCAATAAGGAAAAATCAAGAATTGTCTAAACAAATAGATGATATGGATTTAAAAATTGGTCTTCTAGTGCAAAATCGAATCGCTTTGCAAGAAGTAGCTGCTCATGGGTTGAAATTAAATAATTTGGTTAAACACAATTCCATGACGAAATTAGTTTTCCAAAATCGTCACGACAGCAAGGGATCATTTATGACTGTTACTACAGCGGTAAAAGGACTAAAATCATTGACTAAAGAAAGTAAAAAATTATTGGATGGATATCAACATTTGTTTTATGAGCTACAAACGAACCCAACATATCTTTCAAAGCTTCTTTTTTGTATACCCCAAAACAAAACTAACTTCTTTCTACAGAATGTGGTTTTAAGCCTTTATAATTTTGGTGCATATGACAGAGATGAGTATCTTTTATTAAAATTATTCAGATTTACACTAGAAGAAGAAATAAGATGTAAAGTTGTTAAACCTTTTGATGTTATTGCATCCACACCTTTAGTGTTAAAGATGGCAGTTAGCTTGTCTAGGCAACTCTCTGGTTTAAACAATTTGCAAACTATCATCGGCCCACTTGTGGAAAAAATGTTGAATGATAGAGATTTAAACATTGAGACTGGTCCAGTTGAAATTTATAAGGCTTGGAGAAATGAAACAGAAATGAAAACGGGTAAAATTTCGTAAGTATCTATAATATGTAAACATATGTGTTATACTAATGGCCATATTATAAATAACGTATTTTTCAATTGTCTTTTTTAGAAAGTTACCATATACAGTCACTCAAGAGGAAGCGTTAAATTATCCAGAAGTGAAACTTCGTTTAGAAAAAGCATTCCGTCAGTTGAAGTCAATTGTGTCTATGTTTTTGGACAAAATTTTAGAATCTACAGATATTTTTCCCTTTTGCATTACATATATGGCGCGAGTACTACACAGAACACTAATCTCAAAATTCCCTCATACACCTGAAAAAGATATTCTAAAGGTAACAAGAATACATGTTTTTAGTTGCAGAATTTCTAAAAGTAACCTTCAACCACATTATAATGGTTACCTTATTTATTACACACCGTTGACATGTTCAGATTTAACTCATGGTACCTTTTGTATCTGAAAGCTATTTCTGAATACACAAAATAACTAGATTTAATTTGTGCATACAGCAAATATTTATAAAAATATTTTTTTTTTAATTTTCTGAATCTGCAATCATAATCAAAATCATACTTATTAATCTTTCCTATTAGTCTGAAAGTTATCATCACACTGGATTAGTAGTCATAATGGTAATTTATTTAGTCTTTATAGTCAGAGTTACCACACAAAAAGTTCATACTTAAGTCCAACTCATAGCTAAGGCAATTTGTTATGTTTCTAATTATTAACGCTAAAACAATACCCTTAATAGCCTATATACTTTGTATTTTATCTAAAACAGAAAATAATCTGAACTGATTTGGTTTGAAACTCGTTTTATTTTTTCAGGTTATTGGTAATTTAGTTTATTATCAATTTTTAAATGCTGCTATTGTAGCTCCTGATGCTTTTCACGTAATCAACTTGCCGAGAGGAGCAGCGCTCACAACAGACCAACGAAAGAATTTAGCATCTGTTGCAAAAATTTTGCATTTCTCTGCAGCGAAAAAAGGCGTAAGTGTTATACTTATAATTATTATCTATATATACCAATTCAAAATATTGTATTGCTTATTATTAACCGATTTGCCAATCTCAGAACCGTATTCAGTATCTTCAACAATAATAAAACTAAAGTATCTCTACATTACATATATTCTTGCTTCTAAAGATCTGCTTTTAATTTTAGTATGATTCTATTCCAGATTAGCTTTTTTTTTAATTTTTGATCAAACATTAGTTAATTTGGATGCACTACAAATCTTTTAATATCTCTACTTGTTCTATACTATAACACGCACGTATTATACATATGAACCTTACTCTTGAATTACTTTCTATTGCTGAAAACTGCATTAAAATAAGTTGCGTAATTTAAAATATTAAAGAGAACAGACAGCGGCGGCGGCTTTGTTTTATACTGTACTAGCTGTACCCGCGACTTAGTCCGCATGGTTTTAAACTTTATTTTTCTAAAATAAAAGTAGCCTAAGTTACTCCTTATTACATCAGCTACCCACTATTAAAAGTCTCGTCAAAATCGGTCCGGCCATTTCAGAGATTAGCCGGAACAAACAAACAGAAAGACAATAATTGGAAAAAATGTTATTTTGGTGTATGTACCGTTTATATTCATATCCATGTAGTAAAAAACGGTTATATAAATATTACAAACAGACACTCCAATTTTATTTATATGTAGAGACTAGCTATAACCGCGACTCCGTCCGCGTGGAATAGAAGAATAAGATACTCAAATTGGTTCTAAATAAATTGCTAATTTAATGGCATTTCCACTTTGTATACAACTTTGCATTTTAATTATTCAGAAAACAATAACAAAAAGATTGTAAACACTTTTTAAATATAACAATACTTATACATAATTTACAGTTTGGCGAGGAGTCGAGTCATCTACGATATTTAAATCCATTTATAATAGAGTGCCACGAAAAAATGAAGGAGTTGTTCCGGAAATGTTGTCGTGGACCCACTCTTGAGGAATACTTCGCTGTCGACGAGTATACAGAAGCGACTTTGTTACATCACCCTCATATTTATATTACTGTCCAGGTATATGTACAGTAAATGTTTTACACAACTTTTGATCTAAAAAAGAAACTTTCATATCTGTTTAATTATTGCGAAATAATGTCGCGTAACACATAAAATCATAACTACTATCAATTAGAGAAGTTATTTTTGGCAATCATAGTCAGGTGAAAATTATTTTAATCATTTCTTCATGTTTCCAGTTCACCTACTTCTTTTTTTATATCTACTTCTATTATAGCCCAGAGTGGTTACGGGTTAGGAAAGTGTTGGTAATGAAATATTATTGGCTCTTTTTTTATTCATTGTTTTTAGTTGCATATATATTAAGTTAAGGAATATATGTCGAACGTCTTTGTGTTATACAGCTATAGCCAAATATATCTCGTTAATTGTATTATTATGCGTAAAAGCATATATAGCGTAGCATAGCTTATTACGCGATTTTCACAAATATACACTTTACTAATAGTATGACAAAATCTTAGGAGTCTTAAAATATATTGCTGTACGTCTATTACATATTGAAAAGTTGTACAGTAGTGTACAGCCTTCTTTTAATTTTACAGTAAACGACAGGTGGCCTTACAAATCTATTAAGTTACTTAAATATTGCTGTTACCAAAAAGATATTTCAAATATAATATATATCTATGTTATTTTGGCGGCTTCAATGGTCTAGCGGTTTAGCATACCGCCTTACTTCTGATGGTCGCCGGTTCGATTCCTCGCGCAGTATAAATATTTGTATTCATGAGTATGATTGTTTATATAGGTATTTTCTTTGTATAATATATATGAATAATATACGAAAAAAAATATCTATGTATTTGTTTCAGTTATCTAGTACCCATAACACAAGCTTTAGCTGGCTTAACTTGGGTTTAGATGGCGGTGTGTAAATTATCCTGATATTATTATTGTTATTTTACTCTTTACATGTTTATATTCTAAACTAAAACATACAGTATATACTTACGTACCTACAAATATAATATTTTTCTTTATAGGAGATAGTAGACACCCATGCTCTTGTGGTTGAGTATTTGGATATTATTGCGCCGAATCCCAACGACCGACTCAATGAACTATTAGATGATTTAGGAGAGGTGCCCAGCGTAGCTCAGCTTGCGTCACGCGATGTAGACACAGTATGTATTGTACACAGTTTATATTTATGTATATTTACAATTTTCACATCGTGAAATGATCGTGACGTAGACAATTTGTTGTTATTCCTTTTAATTTCAAAGTATCATTGCTATGAATTATTTTTTTGCGTAATAATGGATACGGTGCATAAACTGCGCTAATAAAAGATTAAAGGAAGATGAGGTCAGGTCAGATGGACCGTTAGGGCGACTTCACCAGGAATTTATGACGATGATTTCCAGGGTCATGCATGTCGATTTAGGGAATGAAGTACAAACACAATAAATAAAAAAAAAACAAAATAAACCCTATGTGGTATTACTAGGCTAAATTTTTTTTTATGAAAAAAGATCCATGTCTTTCAAAATGGTGATTTAGAGGTATTGTGATATGATAAATCTTGTTGAATTTACATTTATTCTTCACTCGAGCTATAATGCTTAAATAAATAGATATCTGTGAGTGTATACTCTAACATTAATTACATTTCTCAGCAAATCGGAGAAACAGCTGAAGAAAATGCTAGACTAGAAGTGTGTTTAGCTTTGGTGAATAAATTTCAAGCACCCTCGAATGATATGACTGACCTAAATAAGCTGTTTGTTAAAACCAAAGAGTTATGTGTCGCTATTGTACCTTTTCTGAATGGTAAGTATAAAGATATTTATTTATTAAGACAGGTGAAATTAGACCATGGATACTGATTGTTCCATACCAATGTTGTCAATTTGAATATGTGTCTGTCTGTTCTTTTTTTCCACATCTAAGCAGCTAAACTGTACATAATAACATTTAACGCTAACAAACATAGAATCAAGAGGATGTAGTTTATCTTTTATCTAAAAACGTAGAAATCGTGAATATTAGGTATGGACGATATTCCAAACTTATGTGGTGTTATTTTTATTTAGTATCACATGTGCAGTAGTATATAGTATGTACATTATATGAAATGGGGAAGTTAAGTACATGACTAATTTAAATACAGTTTTGAAAGCAAACTTATGTGTCAGTTCTGGTACTTTTTTCATTCCTGGTAGATATTTTTATCAGACTGAAATGGTAAACAAGCAGAATCGTAATAAACAACCTGATGGAAAATGGCAACTTTCGCCTATATACATAAACAACACCATAAAAATCATATTGTCTAGTGACTCCTATGGTATCTCTCAGAAAATATACTTCCTAGTTTGGCTTGACTTTGATCTCAGCAATGGCTCCTGGATGGAATGGATGAATTTTATATGGATATATTATTTCTATATTACCTGTAATATATAAATAATATTCTTCATTATTTCAAGGTGATCATCTGTTAGAAGCACTATGTATTGGAACTACTAGAGAACAGCAGGAACAATATGCTGAACAAGTTCAGAGACGCATTTATTCTGGCCAAGCCAAAGCGGATGAAGTGATGTCGTTACGGGAACATATTGCAAAACTCCGTCGTAACCTTCAGTTATTAGAAGACGATGGATATGTTACCAGGGAAGATGGCTACCAAGCTTTAATAACGTCTATCGCTCTTGACTTGTGTAATAAGGGTAAATACAGGCAAGCACAAAGAAAAGCTTTGGCCACTCTTACTCGTACAAAACAGAGTTTACAAGAGAAAACAAAATATTATGAAGAAAAGTGTCAGTCATATGATCAGTACATTAAATCCTGTCTCGCAAATCTTCATGCCGGCAAAAGGTAGGTTCTAAAAGTTCTTTTCATTTCTTCCAAATTATGACTAATATATGTATAAGTTTAGAATTATAATCATAAACATTAACATGAATAAAATGTCTTTCTCGTCACCTCTAACAGCCTTAACACAATTGTATAGTCTGCCTACTACAGTTCTCAAACACCATCTACCATGGTACCACGTAATGTGCCATACATTGCATTGTACCACTTTTGAGGTTTTATTAAAATTCTATTAATAAATAATTATTATTACTATAAAAATATTAATAATAGATGATATTTTTGCAAAAATTATAAATATAGTCAATAATTTCTGTACTTTACAGAAGCGTCCATGCTTGTCTAAGACGATCGGGGAAAGATACACAGAAAGTGAAATCTAAGTTAACTGTGAAATACTCTGGTATGAAACTAATGGAAAGGGGTGTGTTATTGGAAATAGATGGACTTTCTCAATCACAGTTCAAGAATGTACAATTTGAAATCACACCAACAGATCACAATGGTGTATTTACAATCAAAGGAAAATTTATGGGAGTGGAAATGGAATCTCTTGAAATAGATATTCAGGACTTATTGCAGAAACAATATGAGGGCTGTGCCATAATGGACATGTTCGGAAAAGCAAAAATAAATGTTAATTTACTTATATTCTTATTGAATAGTAAATTCTATGGTAAATCATAGCATATATATTAACAATAGGAATTTTGATACTTACAGTTTTTACCATTACACTTTTCCGCCTAGCGAGGCAGGCCTCGTATTACGGGATTTCTCAAAAAAATTATCTTGTTCAATGAAATATTTAACACAAATTGTAAAACTGACTATTGTAAAGTTCTCTACGAATGACACGATTTGGGTAATGTTAACAAACTGTCTGGATAATCAATATGGTCTCTGCCAATTGACACATTAGCTTAAGGAACATGTCCTAAATGCAATTTCTATATTTTAAATCATCACTTGTATTACTACTGTACTGTAAGACTGTTTATGAATTACTTGATGTGGCATTCAAACTATACTCCTTTAACTGTATTTTTTAGTTTGACTGTATTTTCCACACTTATCTTCTTATTGATCACATTGTTTTTTCGTAAGCCTATTAAATACCATAATGTCAGGATTCCAGTTCCAATGGATTACCAGGACTAATGTCGTTAATTATGCGAAGACAGATACATCCCACCAATTATGTCCTAAATCATGTTCTTTATAAAACAAATGTTCTAGATCAATTTGAGATTTGTAGTAATAAAATTGCCTATTTAAATGTATGTCCAGTCAAATTGAATTTTGGCATTGAATACCAAATTTTTCTACTTTTCAATGAAGTATTATGTTATACCAAATAATTGCTTTATAAATATACATAGAATGGACTTGTACTTTTAACGACTTTAATATTTAAATATTTTTTTAGTTATATATTTTTAAGTTTAATGTTAGTAATAGTTCATAATGCACTAACACTTTACCAACTCTGATGACTTATTTAAATGTATAACAATTTATAAATTTTGTTTTAGTGACTTTTATTTAATTGAAAGAAGTATTGCTATGTTTTTAATTCTTATTAGAAGTATACACATTCATCACATAACCACGAGACCTATGTTCCTACATTATTATGATCATAGGAACATTTAGGTAAGTCTAATATAATATTTAAAATTTGTGAAACATTTTCTGATAACTTTATCTGACTTCGAGCTTTCAAAGAAGCTGAATGTGTACACTAACACATGTGGCATTTTAGATAAAGTCTAATATTTTAAACATTATGAAGTAAGAAGTTTCCTATTTAGGTACTTACAATAATTCAGTGCTGTAGTGAAAAAAGGTATAATTCCAGGTATACACATTTTATTTTTTTGGCTGCTGTAAATAATCTAAATATTATTTTTTGAACTTCCACAATATTTAAAAAAATAACATTCACTGTAATAAAACGGCGTACTTGGAATCACAAAAAAATTATTGTATAAAATGAATCAATTCTATTTTTCACACATCTACTGTGTAGTGTGACAAACTAAGAGCAAAATTTAGTAGAGATAGATCTACTACTTTTATAAATATTAATATTTTAATGCATATATTGTATTATCTTTCTAAAGCGATCAATCGATATTTTCGAACTAGGTTTTTTTTTTCAATTTAAGAGAGATATAATTCGAAATTTCTAAACGTTTATGTCGTTTTACACAATAAATGGTTTCGCTTCATATCAATACGAAATCAAAATAGTCATAAAACAACTTGGAACAATTTTTACATAACTTATACATTATTATATTTTATTGATAATTTCATAAGATAAAAACTTACCATACCGGAATTTATTGGCGTATAAGCAGTACATTTTATATTAAATGAAATGAAAAATATTTTTTGGGTCTCCTGAAAAGTAGTAAATTCAAGTTTGATGTAAGTAGTATCGATCAAGTAAGATAAGGTTGGTCCTAAGTCGCTCCCTATGTACTCCCACGGGCTTGGAGTGCATTCTGCTTTCGTACAGGCCAACTGCGTCCAATTTTTTTCGAATTCAACCAACCGTTTCGACATTAGATTAGTTCGAATAAAAAATATTATTGCTTTAATTTTGGAAATGAGAGAGTAATAGTAATGAGCAATTTGCTGTTTTTCAAAATTATAAATTTTGAATTAAATCCTTTTCTCACTAGAGCCACAGAATGACATGGTAAAGAAAATTATCATACTTAAATTATTTTGTTAATCATGGTTTATTTCCTGTTGTATTTAAATTTTGCTGCTTACTTTACAATAAACGAGGCTTTATTTTAAAAATTGTGAATAGTATTACTTGTCCCCCGCAAGTAACATACAAATTCCAGTATTGTACCACTGTCTACTATCGTACTTAATATAAAGGACCCAGGTATAAAGGTCACATAATTGTATGATTTTCCTTAGATTTTCTTGTCATAAATTTAATTCAGCCAGGCAAAGTATTTATAGGTTCACTGTTATTTACGCAATTTTTGTTTATTCGAAAGTGTTTATTCGATTTGTTTATTCAACTTATTAAGTACTATTCGAAAAAACCTATCTATGCTAATTACTATTGGTTGTTATGAAAGCTAGGGACACTCAAGATTAATTACCTCCAGGCTTTTCTCTTTTGACGAACTGGATCGCTGATTGAATATTCTACAAGGTGACGTCTTGAATAGCGTCTGTCCACGTTCTTTGAATTATGATGGTGTATTGCACCGTCCTGCGTTAATGTCCACTTGTGCTCCGCTATTGGATATTAGCGCAAGACTTGTGGATAATAATAATATCCCTGGATAAATTCACAAAACGCCATGTAAGCAGCTAAGTAGAATTTGTGTTATCACTTATCGATACTAAACAAGACCTTATCGATAGAAAACATCCAGACCCATACAATACTTCCTATGCTATTGGCCCTGCCACTCGCGCTGCCCGGCGGTTGTCCGTTTGTCGTGCGCGAGTCAAAGGACTAGCAGCGTGTATTTCCATTCAGTCCTCTCGCTCTGTTGTCGCCCAGCAATATTTCCTGCAGCGCGACTGGAAGGCGAAGCAGCTGAATGTAAACGTAGCATAATGCTATTAGACTGCTGCTTTTTTGTTACTTCTATTTTATATGAAACCCTTTTCCCTGTTTACTGATGGAGCTCCAGTGAATGAGGCAAATATGAACTGCGTTTATCTTTTTAAATCAATAAAAATTATGTTATGTAACAGTAGGTGTAGTTTATTTTTTATTTTTATCGTTAAAATTGTATCCCCCTTTAAAATGTAGGTACTACATGTATCTACATTCATCCATCAATGTCTTGGTAAATATATAGCGTTCGCGATATGGTCATAACAATTCTGTTAGACAGTTATTTTAATCAATTTGTATTCATAAAAATATTTTTTTAGCACAATTATTAATGTGAATCTAGTAACACAGTACAAGACATATGTTGGGCTAAAAAGGACTTGTTTCCAGAGCCGTAAAATATTAAATAAAAAAAAAACATCACTGATTTACAGAGCTATGACACTGACATGTGAAGAAAACGCGGGAACTTTCAAAGCGACTACACGTATTTTTTCGCGCTAGTTTTGCAAAATTATATTTTATTGAGTTTTTTTTAGTCAAAACCAGTAAAGATGACGAAGAGGAGCGGGAAGAAGCGAAAAAAGAAAGAGGAAATATCGGATGGTACATCCGATGATATTAATTTTCTAGGGTCTGACTCGGAATCGGCACTTGAGGATGTGGATAAGTATAAGGCATTTCAAATACCAGATTATGTTCGGTACTATCCTGAGGATGGTGGAAACTTTGAATACATTGTATTTATGGAGAGTACAGATAGTAATAAGCCAATCGGTGATAGGGATATGATGTCCTTAGCTACTAATTTGAAAAAATATAATAAAGGAGTTAAGCAATTATTAAGGATGAATAAATTTAAGATCGGCGTCATTTTTGAACGCCCCGGTTTAGCTAATGCAGCCTTAGTTAATAAAAAATTTCTAGACGGATTTAAATTAAAGGCAAGTATACCAGCTTCAGCCACGGAAGTAACTGGAGTAGTTCAGCATGTTCCTACGCATCTATCGAACGAACAAATATACTCTAATATAACCAGCTCAAAAAATATTGTTTGTGTACGCAGATTCATGAGGCGTATTAAAGGTGATGATAACACCTTTACAATGCAGCCAACTAAAACCGTCTCCATCACATTTTCCTGTCCTGTACTTCCTGACACCGTCGACCTGAATAGTTGGCGCTTTGTGGTGAGGCCTTATATACCTCCTGTAAAGCAGTGTCTTAAATGTTTAAGGTATGGTCACATCGCTAAGTTTTGTAAGAACGCTGAAAGATGCTCAGTATGCGGAAATAATCATAATTTCAGAAACTGTTCGGCAAATATTAACGAAGCTACATGTTGTCACTGCAATGGTAATCATATAGCCATTTCATCACAGTGTCCTATTAAGAAAAAGAAAATAGAGGAGAATAAAAATAAAGTACAAAGTTATGCTGATATTGTTAGAGAGAAATCATTTCCTCAATTAGGCAGTACCAAAACTTCACCTTCGGCACAATTTATATCCCTACTTAATTCTGACCAAATTTTAAATACCCTATTAGAATCAATTGTTAAAATTATAACATTGAATAGAACCAATGACAAAACAATATGTACAGAAAATATAAAACAAGTTCTCCTAGAGACATTACAGAATAAAAAAAAAAACCCAGATTAATCTTTCTTTCTTTAATTTTTTATTTCTTTATGGACCATATAGTAATAGTCCAGTGGAATGCACAAAGTTTAGTAAGTAATCAACAAATCTTTTTTCTATTGGAGAACAATATTCATATTGCTCTGATATCAGAAACCTGGCTAAAAGCCTACTATAAATTAAATATTAAAGGCTTTAACATTGTTAGATTAGACTCAGGCAATGACCATAACGGCGTTGCAATTTTAGTTCATAAAAGTATAGAATTCAGTAAAATTGATACATATAGTGATGATTCCTTACAGAATATTGCAGTACGATTAAAATATAAAAACACAGAAATGTCAGTTGTTAGTTTTTATAGCCCAAATAATTGTAGTCCACGTTTTAACAAAAATAAATTCAGTAATCTTCTTAATAGTATTCCAGAACCCATGTTGGTTGCTGGTGATTTTAATGCTCATCACACAGCATGGGGTTGCTCATCTATTAATGCTCGTGGTCGTGACATTCTTGAATGTATTGATGGTAACAACTTGGTCATCTTAAATGATGGTACACCGACTACAGTAGGATCACACAGATGGCAGAGTAATGCACTTGACCTTACTATTGCATCCCCTTGCTTATCTCTTGCTTCAAATTGGATGGTACATAATGATCCCTTAGGTAGCTACCATTTACCTGTAATAACAAAAATAGTAATTAATAACAATTGCACTAGATTACCAGAATCCTCAGATTATCCCAAATTTCATAATTACAATCTTATAGATTGGACCATGTATAAGAAGACCACAGATAGTTTGTTACAAGATTTTACACTTTACACTTATAGTAATTCACCCCTGCAGTGTTATACTAAATTAATTGATATTTTCAATTTAGCTCTAGACAAAAGTTATATATCAAAATCAAAACCCATAAACTCTACAACTGATATTCCTTTTAAAAATAAAAGGATTCCATTACCTTGGTAGAATGGAAAATGTACACTTGCAGTAGATAACTCTAAACAGGCATATGTTAATTTTAAAAACAACCCATCAGAGGCAAATTATATTACATTTAAAAGGTTACAAGCCAAAAAAAAGTTAATACTTAAAAAAGAACAATCAATTAGCTGGAATAATTTTTGTGAAAATTTTAATCGCACCACACCCATTTCGAAAATTTGGAATACCGTTAAAAAATTCAATAAAACTTATGTATATAGTCAGATTTCAAATAAAAATAACTGGATTTCAGATTTTCTTAAGAAATATACTCCTGACACTGTCGAGACCCAATTTAAATCACACATTAATGAAAATAGTAACAAATTAAATTATTTAAATAAACCCTTCACTTTTTCTGAATTCAATGCAGCCATATCTACCCGAAGAGATACAGCATTTGGTCTCGATGGCATACCATATAAATTATTAAAAAACCTCTCTTATACCTCTAAAAATATTGTTCTATGTATTTATAATGCACTGTGGAAAGAGTCAGTTATTCCTTCCGATTGGAAAAAAGATTGTATTATTCCAATTTTAAAACCAAACAAAAATGCAAATGAAATAGATTCCTATAGACCCATAACCCTGACCTCCTGCATGGGAAAAATATTTGAGCAATTATTAAAACAAAGATTAGAATTCTACATAGAGAGTAATTGTTTATTACAAGCAAACCAGTTTGGTTTTCGTAGAGGTAAATCTGCCTCTGAAAGTGTTACTCATCTCCATATTGATATATTTAAAGCACTTAAATGCAATGAAGTTTTGATTGGGGTATTCTTTGATATTATCGGTGCATTCAATAATGTCAATCATCACATTCTTACTCTGGAACTTGTTTCTATTGGTATACCTGGAAAAATTATAAACTGGGTCTATAACTTTTTAAATGGTAGAGAAGTTTTTGTTAAAGTTAACAAGCAGTTAATAGGACCTCGTCTTTCTTATAAAGGTGTGTGTCAAGGTGGAATACTTAGTCCACTACTTTGGTTTTCTTTATGTTTATGTATGTAGAGGACATACACAAACTTAATTTAATTTTAGGACCACATGTCAGGAATCTTCAATTTGCAGATGACCTTGTTATATACTTTTCAGGCCCAGACATTAATAAAGTAACAGAAAAAATAAGTAACTCATTGTTAAGATTAACAGATTACTTTAAATACCTCAATTTAGATGTAAGCCCTGACAAATCTAAAGTAGTAATATTTTCTAAAACTAATAAATCCTACAAAAACATTAAAATATTATATAATAATTCACAACTACCTATTACTGCTGAAGTTAGATTTTTAGGTGTTATTTTTTGTAGCAATTTGTCTTGGAACAAATATGTTGATTATTTACTAGGTAAAGCTTCCAAAGCATTTAATATTATCAAAGCTCTATATAAATGTGATCCTAAGATCCTTTTAATGCTGTACAAATCCTTGGTTCGCAGCCACTTTGAATATGGCTATCTATGTTTTGGTTCTGACCAAAACAAGCTTCATAAACTTGAAGTACTTCAGAATAATAATTTAAGATACATAACTGGTGCAATGAAAACAACCCCTATAAATTCCTTACAAGTAGAGTGCTGTATACCACCATTAAACCTGAGATTCTGGTACTTAAAACAAAGATTCATCCTAAAATTATTATCCTTTTCTGAAGACCCACTCTTACAAAAGCTCAAACATATTACTTCTTTATTTCCCCTTTCTAATTCTAAAACAGTTCCCTATATACTTCATGATTTCTCTGACTCAATCAATATTGATCAGCAATACAAAATTCACAAAAGCAATAGATTTTGGAATTGTTACCATGGACCATTTGAAAGTAAATTTCCAAATATTAATATTGTAATTGACTCTGAGTTAAGGACCAAACAAGAAGTTTATAACAAGTTGTCTACATTTTCAACTCATCAATCCATATTTACAGACGGTTCTAAAAACGAATCGAGAACATCCTTTGCTCTATACTTACCAAGTATCAGAACTGGTCATGGAACTAGAATACATAAAGAATTTAGTATTTTTTCAGCAGAATCTTTGGCTATTTTAAATGCACTTTGTTATATAAAAGATGATAGGGGCAATTGCAAAAAATGGTTAATTGTCACAGACAGTATGAGTGTTTTAACTGCTCTTCAAAGTAACAAACTACATTATAAAACCAATTATATCATAGATAGCATTAAGCAATTATTATATGAGCTTTCATTGGAGTGTTATGATATTATTTTATTATGGACACCATCACATATTGGTGTTTTTGGCAATGAAAACGCAGATTTCCTGGCAAGAACTATCACCAACAATGACATTGGCGTTGTCAAGGATGTTGCCATACCTTATTCCGACATTCTTTCTATAGTTTACAAGAGTTTTCGTCAAAAATGGGTTGAACAGTGGCAACTTTCGCTAAAGACCAAGGGTAATTGGTTTTACTCCATTAACAAAAATATTAATTCCTCACCCTGGTTCACTAAATCTAGAATTTATAAAAATCGGAAATTTTACACACTCCTTATACGACTTCGTTTTGGTCACGCTAGATTCAATAGTCATTTGTGCCGAATGAAAATAATTGATTCAAATGCATGTCAAGAGTGCAATAACAGCAGTCAGACCCTAAATCACATATTTTTCGAATGTTCCGCTTATAATATTCAACGCTTGGTCTTTATTGATAATTTACTGAACATTTACAAGAAACCGGAAAAAATCCCGCGCGACATCCAAGACATGCTAACTAATTTTGAAACATATATACCTATATATTTATACGTTACCTCGATATCGATAAAACTTTAAATAATTGATACAAGGATATGGACTACGGATAAGACTTAAATTTTGAACACGAATGAAAACAAAAAATAAACATACATAAGAATTGGCCTTTGGCCTCATCACTTGTTCAAATATGAAGAAGTTTAAAAGTAGACTAGGCTGTACGGTCTAAGGATCTTTGCCTGTTCCATCACTGAAAAGGAGATGGACGAATATGGGAAAAAAAAAATGACACTGACATGTAATTTCAATCCTAATCTGTGTACTTTGTTTCTAAAGTTTGTGTCCAACTTTAATATTTTGTTGATGTACTTGGTCGATGGAAAAACGACTTGTTTAGTATAAATAGTTTATTTTGTTAATATAATATTACGAATGTACAATATAGTTTTTTTGTATATATTTTTCATGTTTATATTCTTGATTCATTTTTAATTTATCAAATTATGAATAATTTCAATAAAAGAATTATACTTCTAGTATTGGGTGTAATATTGACTATCGTTTATTGCGAGTTTCTCATTTATTATATAGTTATATCACAGGTAATTCTTTAAAAAATAAAATTTGTTATCATACCTGTTGACTAATCTATTGAAAAAAATAAAATACTGTATTAATTATAGTGCAGCTGGCTTACTCCAGAAAAAATAGCTGATCAATCCGATGTACTGAAAACTTTGATATTAACCGACACTCACTTGTTGGGCCCTCGGAATAGCTTTTGGATAGACAGATGGAGACGCGAATGGCAAATGCATCAGGCGTTTAAAGCTATAATTTCCGTACACAACCCTGAAGTAATTTTTGTCCTAGGTAATTATACATATACATATGTACGTAATGTTTTATGTTTTTTTTTATGTATAGATTTAATACTTTTTAATATTTTTTTTTTATTTTACAGGAGATCTTTTTGATGAAGGAGAATTTAGCAATGATGAACAATTCAGTCAATATGTTCATCGATTTTATGCGACATTTAATGTTCCGAGTCATATAAAAATGTATATTATAGTTGGCAATCATGATATAGGATTTCACAATAAGTAAGTCATCATAGGTGTACTTTATTTTCTTTTGCCTGTGATATGTCTAATCATTAATTAACTTTCTATGACAGTAGTTGTAAAATTATTAAAAAAAGTTATATAAGTTACTTCAAGTATATTGTACTAATTTTGATGATAATTTTTACAATGTACAGATTTTACTTCCATGTTGATCGCATACTTATTTAGTTCTAATTGGACTCACTATTTTAAAACAAAATATAGTAAGAAACTTCATCCAAAGCTTACTTATTTACCTATTCTGTATAGTATACATTATTATAATACCCAAATAAGATTTAATTGAGAAAATACCTCCACATTTTTAGTATTAAACGTGGATCTGCTGAGAGATTCATTAAATTCCTGAATTCTCCTTCTGTTCGATTCCTGACTTTGAAAAATAACCATTTCATACTTATAAACTCCATGGCAATGGAAGGAGATTCATGCCGACTTTGTACAGAGGCTAGACGCAGTATTAATAATATTTCAGGTAAATATTTTGTCTCTTAGACTTAATAATCTTAATAAATTACAATAATACAATACAAAAATATAAGAACTCCATTGGAAAACTTGGTGAAACACTTCATCACATTTACATACATAATGATTAAATGTAGTATCAGTATTTCTTTGTACTTACTGCAGTAGAAAGTATTTTACATTAAGGTTTAAAATTATCTAATATTAACAGTGTCTTATTTGTTCTCAATTATTAAGTTGAAAAAAATTTTAAAATTATAGTAATGTTATATAACATAGCATTGCTATAAATAGTCTGTGTAGGTATATTTGTTTGTTTCAACAATCTGTTATTTCCACAAAATACCCTTATTTTTTTCATACTTATTTTTTTCAGAAACATTGAAATGTTCTCAAAACTCTAGCCGGTGCAGCAATCCAGACTTCAAATATAGTTACAGTAGACCTATACTATTGCAGGTAAGTATCAAGTCTATATTGTTTGTAGTTTATTTAATGTGTATTGTTTATAATAATATAACATTATATAACATATATAACATTGGACATTTTACTCAACTCCTAAGTAAAGCCAAGTAAATAATTTAAAACTATAAAAGCAGAGGTTGTATGAATAGTTATGAATATAACTGTTTTCATAGTGTGTGACTCGAACCTGTTACCATCTAAAGTATAATTGTATGCTAAACTGCGAGACCAGAAATTTATATTAATTGGTCCCAAAATGATCAAACTGTTATGCTGAGTACATGATAGACAATATTTGCGTTATAACCCCCAAAAAATATAATATATACCTACTTAGTCGAAAAACTTAAAACAACATTATAAACTGAAAACTGATTTGTATTTTAAAAATATAATAATATGATTTTTAATTATATCTAGTACTTATTGTACTATTTTATTGCAGCATTTTCCCTTATACAGATTGTCAGATGGAGTTTGCTCTGAGCCTGATGCGCCACCATATACAGAACTATACATACCCTTTAGACTGAAAGTTGATGCACTGTCTAAGGAAGCAACAGAAGATCTTGTTTTCAAGTTAAAACCCAGAGTAGCATTTGATGGACACACTCATTATGGTTGCCAACTACATCACTCTTACCACAACAATGATCAGAATATAGAGTTTTTCGAATATACGGTACCATCATTTTCATGGAGAAATATCATGGAACCAAAATATATGCTGGTAAGTTATCTGGTAATTCTTACTTCTAGTTCCATTTTAAATACGTCAATAATATTAGAAAAATAATAATTTATATTTTTTAGGTAACATTTACACCGAATTCATATGCAGTGAACAAGTGCAGTCTACCTCGAGAAACAACAATAGCTATTACAGCCGTGATTATATTTTCAATAACATTATTTTTAACATGTCGTAAAAGGTTAATTGGTAGAAGAATAGGAAAGTATTCTTTTATTAGTTAATTTGTTGAATAGATAAGTTGATATTGTTGTACATAATGTTAAATATGTAATATAACATATTATTATTGAATATTTGTAACTAGAACTACTTTTATCTAATATCCAACTGTGATCTATTTTTGTAAATATAGACATTAAAATATGCATAGGTAAATGGGGAACCTTCAATTTATGTACATTACTAACATAAGCCTTATTTAATCCGTTATATGTAACATGTAATATAAATGTAATACAATAATAATTGTAGGCATATATAATTACATTTACGATTGTTGTATACTACTTAGAGCAATCCGTTTCAAGCGCGTTTAATAAAATTTTCAACAAAAATAAAAACACTTGATTAAGTTTTTGTCAAAAATCCCTATTTAAATGTTTTACCCCCAAATCCAAACAATTGTTCCCCTTAAATTTCCATAACATCCCTCCTTATTTAGAGGACATCCTAAATATGCTATTGTTGTTTACTTATTCTCTTTGGAAATAACAATTTAATTGGTTAAAATTAACGAAGGAGATTGATCTCTATCCTTCACCTCATAAACAATGTATTCTATAAATAAAATAATAATCTCACGACCATTCACACAGCGCCATCAAGACCCAAGTCAAGTTAGTTAAAGCTTGTTTTATGCGTAGTAGATAAATGATACAAATACATATATATATATATATATTTTGTGAATACATACATAGAAAACACCCAAACTCATACTCATGTTTGTGCAGTGCGAGGAATCGAACCGGCGACTATCGAAAGTAAGGCAGTATGCTTAACCGCTAGACCACTAAGGCCATTGTTGATTAAATTACTTCAATATATTTCATCTTCATTTTCCACCCCAGAATAGAATATTCGTCTAAAATATTCTCACGTAATACAAAAGTATTTAAAAATGATACGAAAAAAACTAGCTACTTCGTGTCTTGAACCTAATCCTAATCATCAGTGAAAAATGAGACTATTCTTACATTTTAAAAAGTTTACGTGTACGTGCATTAAAGTTCTTAATACTAATACAAAGGCAAAGAGTAAAGTAAATACACCACAGGACTATATTTCAAAATATCCTCGTAATTAAATAATTATGGACTACTTGTCGCTACAAAATATGTATAAAATTTTAGGGTACTTGTTCTATTTGACGATATGAATATTAGTGACATATGACATGGCAACACTCATTAAAAATGTCAAAATAAATCGTATTATGAATAAAATGGGTATTATTACTAAAAAATAATAGAATGTAATATATACAGATAATGTTCAATTTTAAAAAATAGTTGGTCTATTTTTATTTTTTGAATTGAATTATAAAATGTACAATGAGTCGGTTTTATAAAAGAATTTTAATTATTTTGTCCGGTGTAGTTTTTACAATTGTTTACTGCGAATACCTTATATATTATGTAGTAATAGCACAAGTAAGTATTTTCACTATTGTATATTTTTACCCAGTCCCGTAGTATTTTTTTAAATATTCTATCTGTATTCGGAATGCAGATTTAGCTAAAAATGTACAATAAAAACTTATTTCTTGCTCATTTAAACAAATGTTGTCCACTTTATATTTTTTTTAATTCTGTGTAAATATATACCCATAGGATTCAAGATATGAATAATGGCATGTAGGATGGGTGTAAAATGCAGAATAAAACGATATCTGTTTGTTTACAGTGTGGTTGGCAGTATCTTGGAAAAACAGAAGGAAACATAGATTTATTAAAAACTTTAATATTGACTGACATACATTTACCTGGACATATTAAGAGTTCCTGGTTGGACAGATGGAGACGGGGTTGGCAAATGCATCAATCATTTAAAACTATAATTAAACTGCATGAACCAGATGTCATATTCATTCTAGGTGAATCATTTATGCTTATCTTACTAATATTATACATGTCAAAGTTTGTGAGCATGGATGGATGTTTGTTATGCTTTCACATAAAATCTACTGAAGGGATTTTACAGTAATATAGCTTATACATCAAAATAATGCATAGACAATAATTTTAATACTAGTTAATATTTTAACTAGTATGGGTGAAGTAAATATCAATAAAATGTGATGCAAATAAAGTTGCATGGCTCAGCTAGTATGTAATAAAGAGTTTCTCAACACAAGAGTTTCTGGCTGTATGTGATTTACATCTAATGATGTACTGTAGTTTCGCACAACATTGACTGCTTTTTTGGGATAAAATATAGCCTCTATCCATCCTGACACAAACTATCTTTATATCAAATTAATTAAGTTGATTGAACTTAATTAGCTGCTTAGTTGTAAAAGAACAAAGACAGACAGTCAGACACCACATTTCTAATATTAATATGGAAGAGGGAAAGGGGATTGTTAGTAATGTGGATTGATTATCTTATTGCTAGCAATGTACCATGTCAGGTTGACCTCCACACGGTTTCCCCTGGAAACCATCATGATAAATTCTTGGTGAATGCTGGGCTAATTGACCTGACCTCATGCTCATCTTATCATCCTCCACTGATGTCCTGTCAGCGTAAACCGTTAGCGCAGGCAGAAGCACAATTCCATTATCATAAAAAATATTAATATGGAATAATATTTGAACATTTCTATTTCTGGATTCTTCTATAGCTAACCCATATTATATTTCCATATTCACTGATAATGTTGTTATAAATTTTAAACTAATAAAATTTGGAACTGTTATGTTATATAAGAGAATACTTTATTTATTAATTAAAAACATATAATTGATTATAATTATTAATATTCTTTTTTTTCACAGGAGATATCTTTGATGAAGGAGAGTTGAGCAGTGATGAATATTTCATGGATTATGTTGATAGATTTTATGACACATTTGTGATACCAGAGAATATAAAAATGTACACGATTGTTGGTAATCATGATATTGGATTTCACAACAAGTATGTTCTCTTCTGGTAAAATGGCCTACAGACTTGCCTACTCACATGGATAAACAAAAGTTGAATAGGTATCACTAATATTATACTCAACTTGTTTTTAGTATTAAACCTGGATTTGCAGAGAGATTTGCGAGATTAATGAAATCTCCTCCAGTACAGTTTGTTACTATAAAGAACACTCATTTTATATTGATCAACTCAATGGCTCTAGAAGGAGATTCTTGTCAACTTTGCACAGAAGCCCGACATAGCATTAACAATATTTCAGGTATGAAGTGTCTTTTATTCTTTTAATAAATAGTAAATTCAGAAACAGTAGGCATAGGTAATTAAGTTATATTGTGACATTACAACTGTTATCTTAGATGACAATGCCACTGACTACCTACACAACTTTTTTGGAGTAATTAAGGGTGTTAAACCACCAGGCCAGAATGCTCTCATAATAACTAAATATACCTTTCATGTATTGTTTTATTTTTGATAAATATATAACAATTGATTTGTGTAATTTTTTAGAAATCTTACAGTGCTGTGAATTTCCTGATCGGTGCAGTAGTGACATAGTTTTTCGAAACTACAGTAGACCCATATTGCTGCAGGTAAGATACTTTTGTATAATTTTTAATATTTCGCGTATTTCATACCTACGACGTAACTTTTGTGAATACTTAATGGTAATATGAAAGAATACTTGGTAATTTGGGACATATAGCTAACAATTAACACATAGCTAACCATTTTTTTATTTATTTGCAGCATTTCCCTTTGTTCAGGTTATCAGATGCAATTTGTACAGAACCTGACGCGCCACCTATATCAGATAAATACACGCCATTTAGACTGAAAATTGATGCGTTGTCAAAGGAAGCGACGCAAGACCTTGTTTTCAAGTTAAAGCCCAGAGTTGCATTTGATGGGCACACTCATTATGGGTGTTTACAACATCATTCCTATAACGTAAATAATGACAATATTGATTTCTTTGAATATACAGTGCCATCATTTTCATGGAGGAATATTCCAGAACCAAAATACATGCTGGTAAGGATGTATTTAGTACCTGACACCCCCCCCCTCATTTTTACAATGTACATATTAACAAAAAATATCTCGAATTAGTATTGCTGTTAATTTATCTTGTTTTATGGTAATAAATCATATTTTGAAAAAAGTGTATGAGTTATGCGAAAAATAATTTACTTACGTCTCAATAGTCAAGTTGTCACAGGTGCGTTAAGATGAGTTGTATCTATTAAGTTCGAATTTGCCGCGCCTAGTACTTGCCCTATGGTGCCTCTCTCTAGATCCGAAGCTGGCTGTAGATAATTTTATGGAAAGTCAGATTAGTAGAAAAATATTTTGCGTACTAATTAATTAGTTAATTAATATGGACGCTAACGATATAAGCTGGCCGAACACAAGGGGAGGTGGATAATCATATCCAGCATGAAATCAAGTCAGTTAGCCCATCATGACAAATTCACGACGAATTAACTAATGATTTCCAGACATGGTACTTTGATAGCAATTGGGTCACTAGTCCCATCTTCTTTAAATAGTAGGTTAAAATAAATAAAATTAATTTCCGCTCCAGTCATAAAACATAGCTGATTTGAGATGGTCTATCTGGGGCTCATTTTGGTTTAATTTATTGTCCCTTTTTGGTGATATAATAATCCTAGCAATAAAGTTTTGTGTAAGTTTAGGACACTTTATGGTAAGCAACTTTAATAGCTATAATATTGGGATGCATTTGATGTGTCATCATTGTTGCTATAGATAGGGAATCGTGATATTTCAATACACACAATGTAATATGGAGTTTTTAAAATGTGATGTTTTCGGATGTGATGCAATGTTATGTAGTTTTATTTGTAATTCATATTGTTTATTATAATGATGATTAATAGTTCTTTTTAAAACTTTTAGGTAACAATTACACCCAATACATATGCAGTAAATAAGTGCAGTCTACCAAGGGAGACTACGATAATTATCACAGCTATAATCTTATTTACTCTCACATTTCTTTGTGCATATCGCTACAAAATTTCGCTTGGAAGGGGTTTCAGTCAAATGAAAAAGTATAATCTTGTAAATTAATCTCATGGTTATATTTGAAAATAAATATTCTTGACAAGATCGAGCACTTTGTACATATTTATGTATACCTACCTACCTTGATTACCTAACAACTGAACATCATCTTTGAGTAAAACCATTATATTACATCATAGGTCATTTAACAAATTATCACATAAGTATCCAATAACTAAACTACAATGTCATTAGGATGTAGCTAACAATAAATTAAATAATAATACAGTACAAAAGTAAGAGGTAGATTATATTCTAGAGATTCATTTACTTATATAGTGAATACTGATTTAGGTAATGTTACCACTTGTTTGCATGGCAGCGAAATTTTTTATGTATTTTCATACACAGTACGTGCTATAAATTAAATTCTATTATTGTAATATCACGTGACTACCTAGTAAACAAAACAATTCATTTTAGGAAGCCATTATTGAAATTATGTATAGATATACTGACGGGATACCAGTTAAAGATAAGGATAAAATCTCTAATTTTTGTACTTAAATTTTACAAATAGGTTTTCTATATGTAAGTATTAGTACGCTATAATTACCTTTACTAATATATTAATCTACCAGCAAACACGCAGTAACATTTCATTAAAGTGATAGTTTGACACGATTTTTGTAGCCGCGTATATTGAGAATAAGAATTGCTAGCGTCTATTCAGCGGCAATAAATTAAGTACCATAAAAACAATAGGTTATGTATATAAATTGTTAAATAACAGAACTATAAACTATCGTCTTCCAAGTACTTAACACTTAATTCTAAAATCAGTCTGTTAACCTCCTAAAAGAGGTTTATAAGGTACAACTACTGAGCATTCAAAACTAGCAGTATACAAATTTAACATTTGACAATGTTTTATTAACTGCAACCGCAATATAACAAGGTCTCATACATAATAGAGAATATTTTACAATTATCATATGAACTATAGGGATTTCAAAAGAAACTAAATTATCTTCATAGCTTAAATAGGTGAACCTATTATTTATCCAGTTGCTCTAAGCTTAAGGCTTTAGTACAAGCTACAGTTACCAAAATAAGGCACTTTATACATAACTTGACATTTAAGTACATAGTGTGTATAATATATATGAATAAGAATCATTCAAACTAAACCTTCAAACGAAAACTATTTCAAATATTCAGTCATTCTAATATTTTAAATTAATGAATGCAGGTAAACATTAATAATATTTTGTTACCTCTTAAGACATTGTTGTACAATCATTACTCTTTAACTTCTTATTACACACTTCTTAAAAGATTTTTAGCAACAAATGATATTACTGCCTCTATTAAATACTGATGAATGACTATATTACACCATGTTATTCTAGATGAACTGAGAATTTTGTCACAAACATTAATTTCCTTCAGTACAGCACTTGGTAACTCAGAATTATACACAACAGTCAACATCAAATAATGACATAGCCGTCATCGGCAATGCCCCACATTGAGTTCTATAAAAATATAATTTGAAGCACTCTTGGTTGGTGAGGTACTTGAGCTTGTGCAGGCAAATCGTGGGAACGCGATCGCGGATGTGGTAATTGTGCCGCACGACTGCTCCGCGGCGTCTGACCTTGCTTTTGATGGTAACCAGTATGTGCATGTCGCGCTGAAGAACATATAACTGCATGGAGATACCGGTCGTATCGACATAAGTTTGAATCGCCGCCACTCGCTAAATCCAAATAACCATTAGCACTGTTTTCTGATTTCACTTTTTGGAATGCATTCATAGGTTTCTCTGGTCTTTCACTAACTGTATAAGATCTATTTCGAAGTTTTTGATATTTTGATGTAATTTCATCTTCATTGGCAACAGAGTCACAGGGCTTTCTGAAACAAAATGAAATATTCGTATAAATTATGGGAGTGAACTAATATTACGATTACGAAGAAATTAAAAAAATATCATCTTCAAAAAACATGTGCTGTTTGTTACGATATTATTTTAAAAAGGCCGTTTTTTACCTTATTGTAAGTTTTAAAGAAAATACATTTAAAGGGAAGGTAAAAAGACCTGTAATATGTAATAAAATTATGTATAGAACTAAAAAAAATGTTTGGCGGGAAATTGTTGGACGTAATAAATAAATTAGCAAAGTACAACACAATAGAAAGACATACTGGTGGATAGAGAAAACGATGTAAAAATATTGCCTCCTATTAAATTTATTAAAATTTTCTTAAGATTTTAAATTACCTGCTTTTATCATTGATGAACAGTATATGCAGGGTGCCTAATGCCTATGCGACATAAGGTACCATATTACAGATACTTATTTGACCGGGCGTGATTACACATAGAACTAAAAACAATTTCATAATAAATCGACTAACCTTGAAGCTTGAAAGCTCAGATGGTTTTTTTCCATGTTAGCCTGAATGATTTCTAGTAGTTCCCGTCTTTGCAAGCTCCCAGAGCGCTTCTTTGCGTGTTTCCGTTCTCGCTGCTCTCTGCGATGACGGCGGAGCGGTCTAGAGTTAAATGATCTTGGTGGAGGTCTCCGATCTCCTGAACATGAAGATTTAGACGACACATCGTCATCATGTGATAATCTGTCTTGTTGTTCTTCATCGCTGTGTTCCGGGCAGTCCGGCGGTACAGGTGGGACCTCTTCCCGCCGCCGCCTCCGTCTGCCCTCGCGTCGTTCTCGATGATTTCTCGTGGACCCATCATCGGGCACGACTGTTAGCCTCACTTGTATTGTTTTGGATCCGTAATGTGGGACTGTCACCGATTTACCAATCGACTCATATATCGTCGATACAATACCAGCAATATCCTGTAATTACAAAGTGAACATTTAAAATTCTAAATCCTTACGTAACATGACTTCAATATCACGAAGTCTTTAGACAACGATTATAGCACTTTTCATCATTGTATCAGCCATCAGCTTATTGACATTCCATGTTACATAACAATAATGTTTAGAAACATCGATGATTACTTACGTCTTTGGTCATGCGGCCATGTCCATCAAGATCATATAGTGTAAATGAGAACTGCAGTGGTTGTTGTTTCGACGGTTCAGGATGCTTAAGTTCAACATCACAAGTCAGCTCCTGGAAACGGAAACAATATGTTAAGGGTAAGAATTTAATTGTAGTTTCTGGATCTTATTATTATCGTTATCATTAATATACTATACACTATACTAATACATTCACACACACAATTATTATGCATGTAGCGTGTAAACGCATGGAGGTTTATTCTTATAGATAACTGTGGCGCCGACCGGCTTGGCGAGAAGCGCGCGCGCATAGCGGACACCGACGAGCGGCGTCCTTATCTCATGCATAAAAGGAAACTAGCCGCGTCTTTACGATCAATGATACGTGAAGCAAAAGCGCTCCGCTCCCTCGATACTGTGGTGCGACTATATGACAGATGATTCATCTCATTTATTCACAGCTTGTTCAATGAAATATAATACTACTTAGATAAAATTGTAGATTGAAATTGTAATAGCATTTCCATTTATTTTACGACCTCGGCGGTCTAGTGGTGTAACACGGCCTTACTACCGATGGTCGCGGATTTGATTCCTCGCACGGCATAAACGTTTGTATTTATAATTATGTAAGTGTTTTCTATGTATAATACAACTGTATTATTGAAAAAAGTATTTGAATCAGTTATCTATCACAAGCTTTTTAAGCTAGCTTAACTTGGGTCTAGATGGCGCAGTGTGAATTATCCTGAGATTATTATTATTTACAATTTTATCGTAGATAAGAAATTAGTTCCTGTATAAATTCATGAATTACAGTGCACAATTATTGTCTTTAATACCTATATTATTTTATCATCTTGTAAAACTAGTTGGTAAAGAAAATAATTTACGAAATTAATAACGAACAGATTAAATCTTACGGCACGATTCACGAACACGATTTTTAAACTATCGCTACTTTCAATCATTGAAGTGCCTACGTAATACGAAGCTAGCTAACCCACTAACCACCATTAAATAAAAACAAAAAAATTAGAATTGAACGAAACAACGTAAATATCCCAAAAGGAAAGAACGTAGTTTATAATGTTGATAAAATATAAAACATCGAATTGATGTATTCATCCGGACATAGTCCAGTTAAAAACGACGTTCCAATTTTTAGAGTATGGGATTCTTTAAAGTCGGTTCCATTTAATTTAGTTGAATATATGATATGTGTATGTTTATTTATTATTTACCTCAAATCTCAGTCTAGGTTGTTTGTCTTCATTTTTATGTTCCGGTATTGGTGAAGACGGCGACTTATACGTAGGCTCGTACGATGGACGTGATGGCTGCGGCGGTGGAGTTGCAGGCTTTAGGTACGCCCGAGCTTCACTGGGCAGTAAATCAGGTGGGGCAGAACATTGTGATGCTGCGCGACCCACCAACTCTTCTGTATCTGTGCGCTCACTTTCTGTGCCAACTGAAAAAAGGAAAAAGAATCTACAATACATATATATACTAGCTACTTGTTCCGGCTTCACACTCTATCTACTAAAAAAAATCGCTACAAAATCCGTTGCATAGTTTTAAAGATTTAAGCATAAATAGGGAAAGACAGCGAGAGCGACTTTGTAATATATTTCGTAATTGTTACCACCGAATCGGGGTTCTCCTGTTCCATATGAAAATTTCTAAAACTTTTGTTCTGATAGATTCCAAATTGTCTTTATTACATTTATATCTACGTATTATAATCAAATTGTAAATTATTGACGAGGCGAAAACGGACTATCTTTATGTCTGTCAAGCTTTTACTAAAAGACACGCTGGAGGAATTACGATAAATTTTTCCGAAAATATTTTGTCAAAATAAATAATTTGATGGTTCTCGCCATTATTTTATTAATGAGATGGCGTATTTAAAATTAATAAAAAATACGATTTGCACATTTTGGGGAGTACTTAATAACATTTCTTTAGCATAATATTACTTATGTAGGACTCTCATTCAAGAAATATTCTGCTAAAAATTCTTCCTAATTCGTTCAGGCGTTTTTCTGTGAATTCTTAACGCATAATCAGATCAACAGAGGGAAAGTTTTCGCCTAGTCACGATCTTTATGTTTAATCAAAATATAGATGAAGTAATGCAAAATTATTGAAAACAAAAATGTTATAGGTATTACGGGAGCGTGTAGACTAAAAGTAAGCGGAGAAACAGATAGATACTTAGTGTTATGCTATTTAGAGACGTGAAAGTAACTTATTTCGTTTATATCTACTTAACCAGAGACACCACAGATTCTGATGAAATTAGATATTATGTAGAAACTTTCTAAAACTTGTACAAAATGTTTCCTAAATAAATTGTAGATAATTGGTTGTTTGGCTACTACTACCTGTAAGACAACCAGATATTTCTTAAGATAATTTAACAAGTATATTCTATACTAATAAAATGTGCATTAAATACATTTTTTTAGTATGAAAAACAAATTTCTTTTATCGCACCTACTCATTTCATTGATAGTCAGTCTAATAAAAATATTTTTAGAATATTTATTCATTTAAACAAAAGATTGTATATATCAATAAAATAACAGTAGTAAAGTAAAAATATAAATATAATCAATACTAATTTATTTTAAGGTTTGTCGTTAGAATTAAAGCCCATATAATATCTAACACAATACAAATACACTACAAGAGCGAGTGAAATACTTCGAATCACAACAAAAAGTTGTCGGTAAACTCAAAAGCATTGCACCTATACATATTTTCTGAATCAAAAGTTTCTATTGGAAGGCCCGGTCGAGTCGACTGGCACGGCACGGCGCGGGCGGCGGCGGTATTACGGCATCTCAGAGTTATTAGCCCCACTACACGTTTCCTGGAAGGCCTTCGAACCGATCAGCCGAAACCTCGGGTACCGCCAGCCCACATCTGCCTCTAATGTTATTTTCTCAAAAGGCGCCGATTCTTTTAACGTCCTCTTTAGTTTCGCTACAGTCAAGCCCAATGCCTACTGATAAATGGTAGAGTCAGTTTATTTAAACTTGGTATTGTTATTATAGTATCTGTTGTTATTTGACGCTAATTTGGTATCTAAATCAGTTGAATTATATGTAAATATAAACTTGGGTGTGATTGTTTATTTTGATATTAATGAAATACCTAAATTTGGCTGTTATTCTATTTTTGACAATTTGTCTCCTACAAAGTCTTAATTAATAATATTTATTTAAAAAGCAATACGCGAGTTTCTCGTTTATTTTTCTTTTAATGTATGAGCTTTCTGATGGAGTATTAGAATAAGAACAATACGACAATTCAAAACCTTTTATATTACGTTTATTTGAATAAAGATTATTTCTTAATATTAGATATTATTGAATGTTTTAAAACTAAACCTAAATGCTGGTTTATAATAAATCAATGACGTTGTCTGGTTTTGCTTATACTTGAGATATGCTCTTAAATTATAACAATATTATTATTATTATATTAAATCTTTTAATTGATGTTAAAGGTTTATTAATAAATTTTTAAATAGACCAATATATATAGCTGCTTTACCATACATTTAATATAATAACTACCTAGCCCTATATAACAGTCGCATATAGGTATAGGAGTGTTCCGCGATAGACCAAGACGTATGTGTATAGTTAAATATTGCCGAATATTATGACAGCGGTGTTATTATGCAATTCAATTCCATCAATTGGAATTTGATAGGTACTCGTAAAAAGCTCGGGCAATAAAGATTACCGGTCGAGTATGTGTAATGGAATACGATACTCTTGATAAACTAAATCAAAGTATGGAATGCAGCTAACAAACGTGGCCCGTCTCTTTGGCCAGCTCTGTCGGCAAGCGCTTTTATTTCTGTTTTCTGACTGGTAACCGTGTTATTTTATTAGTCAGTGGTAGATACTTACGTAGACTGATAATTATAGTTGTTGTAATAAGTATATTATTATCTATCGATATTTTCTAAAGCAATTATATTAAGTATAACCGCTGATAAAACTATTTATGTTACTGTTATAATATATGTTATACCTACACCTGTATAAGCCCGCGACTTTGTACCCGTGTATTTTTTTTTTATTGGAATAAAATAACTACAAAATGTTAAGTGAATCTGTATATTATTAAAATACATGCTCAAATCATTAAAGCTGATTTTGAGATTAGCGCGTACTATATGCACAAATGCACAAACAAACATTGTTTTGTATTAGATTATAATATAATTTATAAGATCCGCAATAATAGTTTTTCTCATATAGGCCATAACTTAGTTATTTTTATCATATCTCCAGATATAGTAAGTAGTAGTTAAATTGGAAAGGGTGTTCTAAGAATTCTTTAAAATCTGTATCACATATGAATAGTATTAATACACATTGGACCTCTATGGTCGTAAACTGTCGTTGTGAGTCTGTCACGCGGCCATCCGACTTGGTCTTACCAGTTTTTTACGATATTATTATATAGGTATATCTGTATATAATTTGGTTGCTGCTGTTTTAATATATTTCGTATTTTTATTAAATAAGCCTCAACTCCTGTTTTTTTTTATTATATACTAATAACTAGAATAAGACTGAACGGATTTTTATTATATTTTAAAGATGCATGATTTAAAAGAATTGCCAAAGTAACTCACATATAAAGTAAGAGTCATGCTTGGATTGGTTCTAATTATGTCGTTTAAAGAAACAGCATATGTATTTACAACAAATCTTAGCGTGTCTTTTTATAAAAAGACTTGCTAAGATTATTTGGTAACACAAACAAAAGAACAATTACAGAACACAGAACTATAGAAGCGATTCCGCCTTGCGGAACTGTGATGCTTATGTGAACAGTTTATTATACTCGTATATACCTATATAATACAATAAGCATTATTATAACATTTTGAATAAACAATATAACAATTCGCGTAAGTTACGATAAAAGAAGAGCTTAAAACCAGAGGGGTGGGCACTTCTTTGATGTTGAATAAAAGGTATCATTGTCTCCGCTTGGGCGACATGCTTTCAACTTTTCTCTTTGAAGTTAATTAAATGAGCGCCGAGACTCGTTTTACATTGAAAGTTTATTAACAAACTTCGCTTTTCAAGTTTGATGTGTTGTGTGCACGGGAATATTAAAATGAAACATGTAGTATATCGTTTTGTAAATTGAAATCTTCAGTTTTCGTACATTTCTTATGGAATTAACTACTTAAATAGAAAAAGATCAAAGACATTTATGTCTACTTTGAAGTAGGAATATTTGAGTGGGTTCGCTTAATTGGTTTGCGTGCCTACTTTGGAGTGACTACTAGGTTTTAACTAACAAACAACACTATGCTAATATATGTGATCTCCGAGAGATCCAATTTCTATTACTTTCTGCAGCTGCACACTCTGTGTTCGGCAGTAGGCATGCAGTATCATAATTATGATTATTGAACTATGTAGATACGTAGGTGTTTAATAATTATAAAAATTGGTATCAATACAATAATAACAATAAACAATTTCTGACAAATAATTACAAGTATAGGACCGTATACATCACAGATACAATGGCAGAGTTTGTACTACTACATAAATTTTATGAAGAGTAACAATGTTGGACATAAGGGTTAATTAGCTCTAATGTGATAGAGATTAAAAGAGAGAAAAAAGATATTTTCAAAATAATAGAATATTATTTTAGTTTATGATACTTCGCATACGAAGTGGTACTTTACTAAAACATAAGTAGGTCAAATACCAATGCCAAAGGTCGCAACAAAAGTCTTCACATTGGACCACGTAGGTAACAATATATTTTATAGCATGTGTTATGGTTAGTAACCAATACAGTATAGTCGTAAATAACTAAACATACGTCAAAAAGTCATTGAATGATTCATTAAATTTCTAGTTCATTTAGGTACAGTTACTTAATACCTACGTTCTATATATATTTTAAGAATCGAATTAGTGTCATAAAACTGTTTTGTCTACTTTGGTACTGTTCTCAGGCATAAAGACAGATTTTTATCTTAATCGAAAATAAATAGCTACAGTAGATGTACCTCCATACAAGTATTTTTAAAACTAATCTGTAGATTCAACATTGTTGTGGTGTAGTTATAGCTACAACACGCTGTCGGCGTTTCATTGAAGGTGAATAATTTTCGACTGGAGTTGTTAGTCTCAGATTAACCGCCTGCTGTGATTTTTTATCGCTTTTTTTTTTTTATATTTATGGCGGCGGACGGCGCTTTTGATCTTGATGTGGGACTGAACAAAATAAGTTGATAGGAAGGTAGTTTTATTGCGTATACACGTAAGTACCATTATATTACAATATTGTAATATCGCATTCAGTATAAGTAAGTATTAAGGAAGGTTGTTCAAAATGCTATTTTGCCGGTCGCCGATCATCGCTTGTAAGTATTGGCCACTTTTATTTAATAATAATGTGTTTCACAGTTTCAGTATTAACAAATTTCATTTCAAATTGAACAATTTTCCAAGAATTATAAAACAAGAATAATAGCACATAAAAGGGGAAAAATTAAAGTATTAAAAGCGATTAAATTTAAACCCTTCTGTATACAAACTATGTTTGTGTATGAATTAATAAATGAAAATTTTTTATTGTTTGTCCCCACAGAATGTATATATTATATAGATGCATAGATTGTTACTTATTTTTTTTTATTTCTACGCAATAAAAACGATTTTTAATACTCTACAACTAACAAATAAGGAAGTCCAGAAATAAGCTGTAATGATATTCTAATTCTAAAAAAATTTCTTTTAAATCTACAATTTTACAATATCATAATTTTATGATGATATTGTAAAAAATCACCTTTTGTGGATCAGCAAAACATTACTTATTTGAGATATGCCGTCTTTATTTATTTTACTTGACTACGCCTAATATTTATAGGATTATTATCATAATCTATGTGTACCTTTGATAAAGCCGTTAAAAGGAGAAACCGGTCAGAAAAAAAAAATATAAAATCAGTGGAACAAAAACATATTCAACTGTCACAAAGTATATATTATCACCACAATTTATGTAATTTGCGTTAAACATCATCCATCTATCTATGGAAATTGTGTCAAAGAAAAAAGAAGTGAAATGGCTCATTTACCCTTGAAATTGTAACAATTACTACTATATAAACTTATAGTCTTATTAAATTACATAAGGAGTTAAGTTTAGACTGATCCCTGAGTTTTTAGGCTCTAGAGTTTGCACTAGGTTCCACGATATTGTTATGTATCTAACTAGCTTTGTCACATTTTTTTTAACATATTTATGTAAGTGTACTACGAAAATAACGGTATTACTTACTGCTAAATTTCTTGTAGCCATTTCTAAACTTATTGCGCCACCACTTGACAAAGTGGTGCGCCATGGGGGCGTCCGCGGCGGGTGCCGAAGTTCTCAATGTTTCGTAGCACGTCATGCGCTGCGCTCACGCACGCATCCCGTACTACAAAAGGGCCGCTAGTTTGTTAATCACCACTAATTTACTAAAATCACTACACTATCACCATAAACATTCACACCGTAACGCGTGCAGCAGTAAACTAAGTCAACAGTCAACACAAACTCTGTGACCTAGTTGTCCGCGTGAATATGAGTGGAGAGTAAAAACAGACATACGTGTTTCATGTAAGAGTGTTATCGAATGACTGACTGACATGGATCGAATCGAGTAAGACGGTGAGGGAATTCGAGTGAGCGGTGCGAATGAATGATCCGGGAGGAAGGGGGAGACCGCGGGCTACGGAATTGAAGAAATATAAAGTGTTGCCAGATAGACGATATATAAATATTATTAAAAAATATATATGTTGTTTTGGTTCACATTAAATACAAAATTGAAACATATATTAATTTATTTTTACAATATAAACCGAGATTGATATCAGATTTAAAAAAATAGATAGTTTATATTTCTTAAGTTTGGAATTTTGAATTCGTATAGTTTATCGCAGACGCACTGAGATACTGTAAATGTGCATTTTTATTATTAAATTGTATACCTATATACATTTTGTAACATTGTGCTATTCAATAAATTACTAACAAAGAACATAGATGTTGTTTAGAGTTTGAACTTTAGACAGAATAGTACATATAAATCGGTTTTGTACTTCAGTTTTGACGTTAAATAAAATAGATTCTTATAACCAGATTTATTGGTTTCGTCAAATACTTATTCAGATATTATATACCATTACAACTATTGTAAAAAATATTTTTTTTTATCAATATGGTGGTAATAATGGTTTCCGTATTGGTGATTATTGTATATACAAAATATTGACGATTTTGTCCCCAGCAACATAAATAACCATCTGGCAACTCTAAATATATAGAGCAGTTACGAAAAAAATACTGGCGGAACATGTCATTCGCATCGTTGGTTCCTCTTTATTGATCTTAGAGCATCTCCTTTTTTATCAATGTATTTCTTGTAGCTAGATATGCTGCATTACACTAATAATGTTGCATGAAAACTAAACAAAAATGACTACTTTTGGTTTCATTTGAATATACATGTATTATGTTTACTCAACGGTCACTTAAAATAAATAATAAATGATATAACGTAGTGTTTGATAGACTCTTAGAAACATTACTTCATAATTTGTTATTAGTGGAAAGTACTGGAAAGGTACGGTGAACATATGAGACGTATTCTGCATTAGAAAATGAATTAAAATAATGTCGTAAGTGTCACTCACCGATTGTTCTAGTCAGCTCCGGTCAAGTAATAGTGAGAACTTGATTTTACGATTTACCTACAAATATATTTTTTAGTAAATTTGGGTAGATGCCAAATAATTTTGATTCGAATGATTCGAAATATATTTGACAACAAACCAATTAGACAGCAATCCAATGTACATTATAAATTTTCTGCAGATCACGAATGTAAATTTCGCAAAATTGATGCAGGATCTCGTTTTCGGATTCAGATTAATTAGTACTTATATAGATAGTACATAGAGTAGTGTACCTTCCTAGTCTTGAATATTCTCATATATGATATAATATATAGGTATAGTTACATTGTAAAAATGTCCTACATGAATAAATTATTTTTGATTGGATCTCTTTTAGTTATTATCAATGTACGAACTAGGTTGACTTCCACGTGGTTGTCCCGGGAAGATGTATTGGCCATGAGAGGCTAACTGATTTGACCTATTCCATCATCTTCCACAGGATTCTAAACCGCTAGCGTAAACCGTTAGTCCAGCGGGGTACTACACCACAACATTATCTTCCACTAAAAAGAAAATTCGACTGTATTCACGGCTACGACTTCGGTGGTAGGTACCTACGCGAATATTTCTGAAGATCTTTTATTTATGTCGTACATCTCCTATATCTGCAATCAAAATTATTCGATATTTTCTAAAAATGTTGTAAAATTGTTCTACAATCTATCTACGACAGTTATTTGACAACGTACATCATCAAAAAAAATGTGTAAAAAAAATATAATCCGGGTATTAAACCCTGTACGGGATGGACATGGCAATTTTGCAAAAGTGGTCAATTTTTATTTGTTGAAAAATGCGCCGTAACTTTATTATTGTCTGTTGGAACTACGTGGTAAATGTGTTTGTATGTTTCATTTAGTCTGGTATTCTATAGACATAATTAAATACCTATCTTGTAGATGATCTAAAGATAGTAGCTAAGTTAATATGTATAGTCTGATATAGTATGTAGTAATAATGGTATCCTAAGTACCCGAAGCAGCAGGGCAGTATTATTGTATAGAGAGAAAGGTGCACGCTCATCCGCTACGCAGGCAGCCTCCGTTCGGTCGACGACCCTGTGTCGGTGATTACAAAAAAGATTAAAGGTACATAATGCTAGACACTCATTGGTATTGTACGGTAACAAACTTACATAACTTTGTTAGTAGAAATTAGCAAAAGGTATTTATTGAGTTTATACAATATTATCGAGGAAACTACCTAACTGCAAGAAGTTGATCTAAAATAGTAAGAGAGAATAAAATAAATTGAACAGTTACTAGCATTTTTTATTTACTTATTTTAAGCTTCCGTAGCACATTTTAGATTTCCATTAATTACCACAGTATAGGAATATTCTCCGAGAGAGAAAGAGAACTCCGATTCCGTTTTAAAAAATCAGATAGATTAAATGTACATATTACATTATTTTATTTCTGAGGAGGGCTTCGAAAGCGGAACAAACTCATCAAACAATGATCGAGGCAAGGCCCGGTGCTAGTATGGCTGTGTATGCGTCGAATTAGAATTTTACGGCCTCTTCGTGTTAGGTTTATTGTCGAGGAGTTATCTGCAACCAAGATGAGGTCGTATACCAAAACAGACGGACAACAGACACAGTTTTATGTCGGTAATAAAGAAATCTGTAGGAAGTCGAATAATTGGATGCGCTCATTTCATTTCATAGAATTTTTTCTTCTAGAGTTTCTAGACAGTCTTGTATTCCCGATCATTGTATCCGATTGTTAAAAGTGATGTCACATTTTACCAAATTCAATAGCATATTCACGATATGTATATATAATAGTGGAAGACGAAATTATTAAAATTACATACAATGCCACCAGCGCAAGCTACTATTCCATCATCATGTACAAAAAAAGTATAGCGTAGCAACTAGATGAATTTTAAAGAATAATTGTTGTTACATTGGTCCATCGTAATTGTAGCAATGTACATAGGTTATACTACTAGAATTATGTATTTATAGAAGTCTTACAAGTGTAATAAACATATTTTAGTTTCAACTTTCAAGATATTTTCTTTATTTGAAACAAAGATAGCAAAGTTTCAATTATGTATTATGTAAACAATGTCAAATAAAACAAAAACACAAAAACCCAAAAACCAGTAACTTGAATGTTTTATTCCTTTGGCAATTCTATATTCTTTATGGAATCAAAATAACGGTATTAACGATGTGACTGTACTAATAATGGTGGATTAGGCCTATCTAATGAGTGAGACGAAATAAAATTGTTAGAATAAAATTACAATATAACGTTGTCTGATGAACACTGACCACAAGCAAGCTGCAACTACGATATTCGAATTCTACGTGGGTGGCACGTTCCACGAAATATGTCTGACTATCAGGTCAGTCAAAATCACAATAACTGCATAAATATCAGGTAATCTTGGTATTTAAATTAACAATATATCAAATACTTAAGTATTATTGCATGTAATATTCATAATTGTAACTTTTAGGTACTAATATAACAAAGTAAAATGATAAAGGATTATAATCAGCTTCATCTGTAATCATTATCGTTCTATAGGAAATTTTCTACAGAAAAAATATATTTTGTAGATGAGCTACATTTTATGTGTGGTAAGTAATGTACTAACAGGTTGGTTCTAATACTTAAATGCAACTAATTACATCTAACTTTTCCTATTTAGTAGACAATACATATTAGGTACCTACTTACCTAGTCGACGGACCACCATGAGTGATCAACTTGATTGTTTGTACCCGGGTCTAACCTAATTAGCATCAACGTTTTAAGACGCTAGTGGATTATACAGGACAGTCACGACTGTGTTACCTTGTATGAGAAATTGTGTAGAGATAGGCAAGAATTTGGGAGTTTTTTGACTGAGTACTGTTGTAAATATTAGCTATCTAGTTGGAAAGTATTCTTACAATAAAAAGATAATCATACGAAGTGACCTGGAATGTTAATAGTAGCGTTATTTCTGCTATTCAGTTGTCTGGCATGCGGCCAGCTTGCGGTCGCTTGACTCCTTTCGCGTGGGCTATGCCCACTTGCGTGTGTTTTTATCTGATAGTTAGGTATACTGCAAAATATTTCTCTTATAAAAAGTTAATGAATACTAATAAGTACCTACATGGTTTTAATAATAAAATCCAAAAGTATTATTAATTTTAAGATTCATTCAGAATGTTTTGTTTTGATGACTATATTATTCTTTTGCTTAGGCTTTTCTATCAATATCTAGATATATTTCTATCGATAGAATAATAAACATTATTTGTCGATGTGAATTTCGTCATTAATCATTATGAAATTAATATCAAACCCAATTTGTGGCTTATGAGGTTTTCGACAGATATTTAATGCAATTTAGATTCCACTGAAGAGATTGGAAATAATGTTCTTGACTAAAAAGTCAAGAACATTATTGAATTTTAAGAACAGTTTCAGATTCACTTGTCTTTATTAATAAATATCATCTTCATCGGTTCAACCTTGTTTAATAGTGAAGGTAAGAAATGGTAAGAATTAAAGCCTCTATTGAATGCAGTTGCTCGTAATATAAATATGAATTTTAAGAAATAAAATGTTATCAGATTCACATAGAGCCTCTACCAAAAATAAGAATTTTTCATTATCTATTGTATAAAATAAATCATTAGTCGCGATGAAAATTATGTATGGACTATTTCACAGTTGCAATGGCGAACCATACGACTTTTTTTGCATCTACAACCCTTAAATTAGAAAATCGCAAACCCTCAAATTTTAATTCGTTACAATTAAGAATTTTTACATTTCAAATTGATTGCATTAGTAAATTTAGACAAACAAATACCCATCTTAAACATTCCGTTTAGTTTGTAACTCTAAAATTTGGCAAAGAGCGTGTCGGTCACGGGCGAA